TATATATATATATATCATAGACATTTTAATGAAGTGTCTAAAAATTAATATAATTCGAGTGCAATCAATATTTCAGATAATACTAATAAAATTACTAAGTGCATGGTATTTGTTAGTGTCTACATTATTTGATTTTTTAAGAAAAATTCCAAAAAAAGAATGAATAAAAAAACTATTTTGGTGAAAGAAATTAAAACAGTATTGAGTAAACTACTATATAATACATAAAAAAACATCTTTATGTATCTTATTAGTCAATTTAAAGTGTATTCACTTGGCATTACCCTCAATATTGGTATTAATTTATGAGAAAGAGCATGTACATATAATATTTGATATTATGAGATTTTTGTAAGAGTATACATTGACTTTTGCTTAGGATTTGGGAGTGGAACTATTATAATGTATACTTAATGTTTTATATACGAAAAATATAATTACTGTATGTGTGTTTATGCGCGCGCGCGCGCCACAAGCAATGGCCTGTTGGTGGAGAGGTCACTGTAACTCCCCTCAGATCAAGGGTTCGATTCCACCGTGGTGCGGGGCTCTGGAATTTTAGGCACATGACGCGAGCTCTCATCATGGGGCTAAAAAGTGCATGAGAAATTGATGTGTGGGCAGTATGCTTTTCATTGTTTAGCGTATTTACTTGCTTTATTTGTACCATTATATATATATATATATATAGTGAACAGATTGGAAATTCTAGATGAAAGAAATAAAATTGTTTTACAACTTCTATTGATGAAGCTTTAGTTTGTCCGTCGAATAAAAAAGAAAAACAAAGGCTTTTAAGAGAGAAAATTATTTTACAAATTTGATTAATGAAGCCATAGTTTCCAGAATGTGCGAGCTTTATAAATACATAAGAATTATGTGCTTTATATGTAAATACATAACAAACGTGTGCTATGCATGTAAATACAGAAGCTCTGTGAGATTTTGGTTTCAAAACATTACAGGCTTAGTATGCATGTGGTGGTGGGATTGCTCTTGTTCTGGTTGAAGTTGTAGGTTGGCTTGCTATGCATTCAGTGGCATTTCGTGGTGTGTACTTACATACGACGCAATTCTAATGCCTTATGGTGGGCTATGTTATTCATTCGGTGTGCGTAATGATGAAAGTTTAGGTGTGAGGTTTTTAAACACATAACAAATTTGTGTTATGTGAGCAAGTACATAAGAATGTGCTTTTATTTGGAATACATAAGGATCATGTATTATGTATGTATGTACATAAGAAGTTATGTGCGAGTTGTGAGCTTTATTTGAAAAGCATAACAAATTGGGTTTTTGTGTGGAATACATAAGAAATGTTCTTTCTAAATACATAAGAGTTGGTGGGATTGCTTTGTTTAGATAGGAGAGTGATACTTCAACATATATTTGGAAGATTTGCTTAGACGCGACTAAATTCTCGTGCATTTACATATCTAACAAGTAAATATGCATTTCTACATACATGAAACCTAACATAAGTGCATGAGTGCTCTCTTTGTGGTGATATTAAAAATTTGTGAACAAAAGAATTGTGTGCTATGTATGCAAGCACATAAGAGCTATGTGCTTTGTTTGTAAATATTATGGACTTGTCATGGATTTGGTGGGATTGATCTATTTTAATATATTGTAGGAATATTTACTTACACATGACACAATTCTTATGCATTCACGTACCTATTAATGTTCGTCATGTCTATTTCATATATACATGTTGATTTTAGGAAAAGAAGGATGTATATCGACCACTTGGGAGAGAGGGAGCAAGATTACTTTTTTGTGATTTATGTTTAAAAGTTAGATTAGGCAATAAATTAACTATACATTTTAATAAAGAAGGTAGACAAAACATAACAAAAAAATTTCATGTAGAAACAGAAAGAGCATATAATAAAAAACTAAGCTGAAAAACAAATAAAATCAAATAAAAAAGGATTGAAAATTGTGGAAAAAGTTGAAGAGAGGAACTATAAGATTAGGTTGGAATCATATTAAGAAAAAAATTGATGCATTGGAGGAACGGCGGAGAGAGGATCTGTTGGTAAGTAGAAAATCCTTTTATAAAAATAATTCAATATTTTGACTTTATTCCTGAGATGTTCTGCAACCAACACAAAGAAATTTAAGTATTGTGGCATGGACCGTGATCTGGAAGATATATTGATTTGATGTTGATTGGTATTGTAACTACGAGTTCAAATGTGTGGGCTACAACACAGAAAAGTCCTCAGAATTTGGATAAAGCCTGAATTTGCTCATTCAATTGAAATTCCTGAGTACTCATGCGTTGAATCCAGTCAATCCAAATGCAATGCACCACAAAACCAACAACCCAAAAAGAAGAAGAAAACTGACACTGCATTTTTAAATGAATAAATTTTACAATTAGTTACTACATATGCTAGTATGTCGTTCAATGCTCACACAATGTTATTTGCAATGCTTTCTATACAAATAGGGGTGTAAACAAGCTGAGCTGGAGCGAGCTTAGGCTCAGGCCGTTAAAAAATACCGTTGTTAGTTTTCGGTTCGCTTATATATCGAGCGCAAAAGTTTTGTTCGTGCTCTGCTTGTTTGCTTAAAAGCTTGAACCTAAGCTGTTCACCAACAACGAGCATGTTTGACAACCCTAGCCACGAACCGTAAAGTGTTAAAAGTAGGGGTGATTTAAATCTTATTGTTTATATCATTATATTCTTTTAAATATAATTTAATATATTTTTATTCTAATTTTATTGATTAATAATTTTCATTGATGAAAATTTTTTGTAGCCCTATAGTCATTTAGATTATTTAAAAATAATACTCATCAATTATATATATAGCCGTTGGGCTAATTTTTGGTCTTTCTATTCATAACAGCAACATTATTAAAATCAACAGTCTTTTTTAATAAGAGACTTTATATGAACCAAAACTATTTCGGCTGGAAGGATCAAATCATGATGTTTCCTCTTATTTCTTTTCAGCCATAAAAACCAACATATTATATAAGAAATCAATTGTAATAAACTTGTTTAGTTATCATTATTAAGATGCCAATAGTGCTTACACTTTTCAATGGAATTATAATCCTTTTCAGGTAAAAAAAACCATAGTTAGCAGCCACAATATTCCAAATATCCAAAGCAAATCTGCAAGTGAAAAAGAGATGGCTGAACTGTTCCTCATCCTGTCTGAAAAAGGTTGGTCAAGAGACTCGTCTAATAGCCTCTGGTCAATCTTTATAATATATATAAAATTTAATTTAATTATTTCGAGCCAAAATGAGTCGAACAAGAACAAACAAATCTTTATTCCTACCTCACGTGTTCATATATCGAGCGCAAACTGACGTACAAATCGAATACAAGCTACTTAACGAGTTGTAAACGGGTTGTTCACGAACAACGAACTATTTTGACAGCCCTATATACACATCTTGACGATAAACCAATTTTAGGAGAAGATTTTATAGGTGTCCAAGAAACAAAACGCCTGATAACTGTGACTTACTTTCAATGAGCTAACCATGACTACTTTAGATGAGCTAACCATGAGAAGTCCACACATTAGACAAAAATAATATCTAGAAAGTAGTTTTGAAAAAGAAATTCTCCCATAAGTTTGATCATTTAGACATAAAGATCACTATTATAATAATTTTGCAAGTTCTTATTTTAATACAAATTTTATGTAATTCATTATGTCACTTATAATATCATATTTTAAACTTGTGATTTTTGGTAATATTTTAATGTTTATTTCTAGTGTTTTGTTTGAACCATTGTTTGAAACGTACACTAACAATGCAAGAGCATAATAATTTTTATTTCAGAAACAGCAATAGTAAAGCAGATTCACAACAAAACTATCCAAACAGAATGTTGTTGCTTCTCCTAGCAGCAACTTCACAGCGGAGTTTCTTGTCAGCAACTTAACGGTTGTTTCTTTAAAAAGTTACAATTATCCCAAAACAGACCCAAACTTCCTCTCTTAGATCTGAGTACAATAACTGAATCCATACAGATAACACCAATAAACGAAACAATATTGTACAAAATTTTTAAACTCAGCTGACTCCAAAAATCTTCATTGCAAGCATGTTTTTTCATACTTGTATATGCCCTGTTGTTGAATTTCTAAAAGTGAAGGAGAACAACAATAGCTGCTACCATTAGTGATTGGTAGGAATGTTATAGACAAAGCTTGGGGAATCTATTAAGATCATAGCATAATAACCGCTGAGAAAATTATCAAAATGATCCACTAACATTTTGCATCAGATCATTTTAATCTCAAAGTCTATAAAAATATCAATTCAAGTCCAAAGCCTTTTAATATGCGTTGAAATAGTCCTAATGCAAGATTCTATTTAGCCCCAATTAAAATAGTATGGTGGCTAATGCGACTCTTTAAAACTTGACTATTTATGAAAGTTTTATTTTCATTGGGTTATATTTTGAAAAAAAATATATTAAGGTAAGAGTTCATTGAAATGCATCTCATTGCAACATATCGGCAACTTTTTAGTACCTGAGTGGAATCTACACTTCTCATTTCTCCAACCAAAAGAATTAACTGTTCAGTACAATCCCAAGCTTCACGTTTAACTAGTAGGAGCCAAGATAGAAATGCATACAAGAAGCAAATGTCATTTTAAAACATATATTTGAAACACTATATGAATGTTCAACATAGGTAAAGATTGTAAGAACAAATAGTGTTGGATGATTAAATTACAAAATTTCAGCATCATCTCGGCTGGTTGGTGAGAGAAGCAATCCCAGCTTTACTTCCAAAAAAACTTCTGCCATGTTAGTTACTGGTTATCAGAATCAAAGGAAAGTTTTAAGCAATTAGAAAACATTCTAAGAAATTTAGAAGCATGAATAAAGACAATATGCAATTATTCGAAAAGTTAAAATAGTACACTATTTCACATAGAAAACCTAAGCAGTAATTCATTAAAATTGTAAATATATCCTCGCATCCATTGGATCAATATCTCTGCTAAGGATCTGATCTTACCTTAGGGTCAGTCACCATGTACAGCTTGTTTGAGCAACTCTTCATCGCACATAAAATTTCAACGTCAAATTGTTTGTGGGATTGACAGTTGCATTGCTGGAGGCAAAATTACCAAAGGAAATCAGTATTTTAAAATTAAAAAAAAACATTGTTGGACTGGAAAATATGAAAAAGAAGAAAAAAAAAAGATGTTCCTCGAGTCACAATAATTTCAAATCTTAAAGAGCTGAAGAAAATTAGATGAAAATAATATCTTCAAAAGCAATAACAAATTATTTCAGAAATTTAGGATTGATATTTAAAATTGTACATACATTTTACTTCCATGGTTCCTATCAACATTTGTTTACTTCAAAAGACCTTTTAGCATACAAAATCTGTTCAAATGTAGAGAGCGAGTAAATGTCTCTACGACTAAGCTATGTGATGGCAGAACATGGGATATAGATTCACATGCAGATGAAAAACTTTTACGTATCCACATAAGATAAGAACTGAATCAGTTTATGCAAAAAAAAAAAAAAAAAACTTACATATTATTCAATTCTAAAAGTATAAAAATGAAATTTGTAAAAACTGCCTATATGAGAACAATGTAACTCGAATAGGTCAGGCCAAGTGAAAAACTTACAACTTAGGCTCCCAAACTATTCTGGGTAAATACTTCATGTGATTATGACACACAATCTCATTGAAAGCATAGGTACTCATACCACACCCCCCTTGGTTGTAGATCAAAAACTAACAAACATTCGAAATCAACTTTGAAATAATTTCATTTATTCATTTATATGTATTTACATTTGTACCATGTCCCAGTCATTTCCAAATCTTGATTTTTTAGAGATTTCATTTACCACCAAATAATTCCTATACATTCTCATGATCATATATAACATTCCACCAAATAATTCTGGTGTAGTAGATAACCAAATGGCAGCGCGATAAAGTAAATAACGAATCAGGTGGATAATGATCGTGCATAGAAGAGACAAAAAAATTGTGAACAATCAAATACGATAAACAGTTATGGATAGGAGCGATATTGAATTACAGTATTTTCATTGCAATTAAGGTTATTTTTTAAAGTGGCAAATTAAAAAAAAAACAATGATCGGAGCAAAGCGTGCATTTGAACTGGGGATAATGATGTATAGTGATAATCTCTTATCAAAAAGAATAAGTTGAAAAGAAACAGGAGCAAAATACAATAACAAATTAAATAAAAGCAAAATTTATGTATTTGTTGCAAATAATTATGCTGATGAATGTGTGAACGAGCAAAAGTAGACAAAAGATCTCAACAAATCAAACACAAATAAAATTAATCTACTGCCCACTAACAATTACGCCAAAGAATTTGTCATCCAAATGGCAGTGTGATGAGCAAAAAAATTTGGATGCACGTACAATGGAACAAAATAATTCACCCACATGTGTAATATTTCATTTCAGGAGTCCTCTATGATCAGCATCATTCCAAAACTGCATGCTAAAATTTCGCATTTAGTCTGTCATAAATTATTTGTAGCTTGTGTTTTTCTTCATAAGTCATGCTAAATGTAGTTGTTACCTGCATGAATCATATAATTGATAGATTAATTTACCATTTTTTAAAAAGCAGGGTGAAAAAAAGGGAACATGCTTTTAAAGCATATTTGAAAATATTTATTGAGATAGTAAACATATGCAGTAATTTTACATTTCATGGAGTGATGGAAAAAACTATTCTAACTGATGAACAGCAATTAAACCGAGTTTGAAGCCCTTGCCTTTCATGAAAAATAAAGGCATATAAGAAAAGTTGCTGCCTAAATTTACGGTATCACATAAGAATAAAGGTTATTTTAAAAGTATAAAATGTGGAGTAATGAATAATTGTAAGCGCAAAGTGAAATTAATTGGAATCAATGAATAGTTCATGCTTCTGGAATGCAATTTCTTTGAAATGATAACAATTTTTCTTTATGTTCTATCATTGAATTCACTGCAAAATTGTTGTATTTTGGTTTTTTCTGCCTGTTTTCATGTATCATGTTGTTATCAAAAGTAAAAATACTCTAATTCATTCAATAAAGCTAATCATTAGTGATTCTAATGTTATCTCAAATGAAATTGCAAACTTTTAAAAGAAAACGTATACACGCATGAAAGATGACTTGAGAATTATATAAGGCGTCAAAAAATGAATTAGAAATAAAAAAATACATAGAAGATGACGCATTAGTTGAAATTCAAAGTAATTTGAACGAGATTTCTTTTGCGATAAATGCAAGTTTTTTCAATATCATATGACAATATGAATAGGCTAAAAGTGTGTTCAGAACTTCTACCCTAGAATTCAAGTATCACATAAATGTAAATATGATGATAAATAGTTAACCTTTGTCTGCTTCAGTAGAAACTATGATCCTTAATTTAACAAAAAATATGAATAAAAAATATTAGTTGTTTACCTACTATTTAAACTACATGTGCGCCAAAAATTTAAAGAACCATAAGATCAATTGGTTGTTGAACTACCTAAAGATTTCTTCGGTGAATAGTCCACATAGTAAGATACTATGATACAATAATCTCAAGTTTCGTCGCAAAAATCTTTTCTAAAATAATAAAAAACGGTTTATGCAAAAAACTAACTATCTAAAGAAATTAGGCTTCAACCTCAGGAAAAAATATTTATTTAATCAAAATGGTAGATAAATTTCAGGTTGAAGAATTAGGAAGAAAAACAGACAAACTGAAATAAAAGGCATGCAAAAAGAGATTTTTTTTAATTCAAATTACAATTAAACTTCAATAATGTTTCAGCAATTCTGTTAAAAACAGTATCAAATTCAGCTCAGCAGGATGTGCACAATGATTTTATGAGAGCTGAAACTAAAAAACTCTCGATTACTGCTTAAATAAATACAAATATGAAGTGAATTCTTAGTCATGAAAAGACTCACCCGTAGATTCCCTATGTTCTGCACCACATCTTTTATAACATCTTTACTTAAAGAAAGGCTTCCACGGCATCTCTCTTCGTTATGCATTAATATAAGGATGGATGATACTGCATGAATCTTACATGAAAGCTCCAGCCAAAAATTAAAATCAGATAGGGACTGAACTGAGAAGTTGTTTTCTGTTAGTGCTGAGGCAAATAACTCCAACACATGAAACAGCAGCTTGTCATTTCTGTAGAACAATATAATGCAAGGCCGGACATAGTACTTAAAAATTCTGAACTTATCAGATTGAAAATCAGCCTTAATTTCTTCCGGAATATACTATTTGAAATCACAAAAAATAATGTGTTAGCTTAAGAAGCCAAAAAGTTAATTAAATCTAGTTCATCTAAAAAAATATTCAATAAAATAAATACAGCCTAATTAAGCCAAGTAGATAAAATCACAAATCAAGAATAACAAAATGTTTACAAATGCGAGATGCAATATCGTTATTGAAGGAGAGTAAAATCAAATGGTTCAAATTAATTATGCTCAAGGTTGATCTGTTCATGTAGCTCAACACCAGCTTTATGAATCAATTTCTGGGAATAGTTTGAATCAATAATGCTCATGAATAGAAGAAGATGGAAAGTCAGACGCCTAGTGAGAATTACAACTAAATTATGTAAAGTAAATCAAAATACAAAATTTGAGAGCTGAAAACTAGACATCATGGTGTGATTATCGACTCCATGGAAATCAAAATAGGAATAAATTTTTTATTTCTTAGGAAACTTGGAACTTAATTCAGAGGAACGGTGTCCACTATATCTGCAACACCAAGAACAAAGTTTCCTTTGAAATTCCAACCAAATATAGCTTCCCTTCGTTTCTTCTGATTTTAATGTAAATTTAGGACATAGGATCCAAACGCTTATGGCTTCGGAATTTTGTAACCTAAAAACATTGTAGCCAAAGTTATTTAATATTATTAATAAAAATTTTATTTAATTTTATTTTTTTAATGTGAGACATGGGCGTGTTCTAGCCAAACAATCCAACTAAACTCCACAACAACACTCTATAAACCCATAAACATCTTCCATTTAATTCATAGAAGCACTAAAATTAGTTACATAATTGTATTCACATTACAACAATGAAGCTTCGTGTTAAACACAGGATATAGAAAATCAGGTGATGCAGGCATGACTCCCATCATAGAGTGGATGCTGAGGACGCAGAATAAGCCGCTGCCTAGACCGGTTCAGTGGGAAAGTAGAGGGGTCGGCAGGCCTCCTTGGTTTTAGGGTTGCCGCCCAGAATAAGTTGCTGCGTCTTAGGAGTGTATATATACACACACACACACACACACACACACACACACACACACACACACACACACACACACACACACACACACACACACACACACACACACACACACACACACACACACACACACACACACACACACACACATGCTAGATAATATATATATGTATGCATGTATGTTGTTTTCGTGTTTCTAGGGCAGTTTTGGGTGATTTTGCTGTCCGGACAATTGTCGTGTCTCCAAGTTTTCCCTTCTATGTCTGTAGTCAAAGGCGAGTAGTGCTCCGACTATATTTCGTTCCGAGGTGGCGATTCTCCTCCAAGGGGTCGAGTGGGATCAAGGAGGGGTATTTACAAATATTTTGATATTAATTAAAATTTGCTCTAAAATATTGTCTTTTCTATTCACTCACATGACCCAAAAAAGGGATATTTACAAATAGAACAGCCAATTTCTATCTATTTACACATCTAACACCTAAATATAATATGTAAAAATTGAAGTTTAGGTGTTAGATATGCAAATATATAATAATTGAGTCATGATCGGTTAAATTGAAATCTAGGCCAAAGTCGAAGTAAGACCGCAGTGTTCGAAGCAATCTTCAAAATCTAGGCCAAAGTCGAAAATGATCATCAGCTCTTGTGCTCCTCGAACTCTCGAACACAACTGTACCTTGCGCTCTATCGAACACCATACCGAAGCTTTTATTTACTCAGGTTAGACCATAAATGGGCCAACTGATTTCAATGGTTCAAAACACACTTCAATGAGGAGAAGCGGGCATCAAGCGCTTCGCTTTGCACGTGAAGCATGATTTTAAGCACGGATGAATACAAAAAGAGGTGATTCGAGTATAAGATAATCCCCAATTAACAATACAAATGCTGTGCAACAAACCAACAAAAATCATAACATTTTAATGAATTTCACTTAGTGAAGAATACTCTTTAAATAAGAAAATCAATTGTCAAGAATGGCATGCAAATTTAGCTGACAGATAAACAGCACATACAGGTTCTCTTTAATTCACACAACTAGAATTTTACAAGAAAATTATTTAATATTATAAATTAAAAATAAAAATGTCAACAATACAGATGAAACACAAACGGATGACCAATCAATGGATGTCTCTTCAGTTCCCACTATTAGAATTTTTGAACAAATAGTATAAAATTAATAAAAATGCAAAACAATAATAGGATGTTAGCAGTATGGATGCAAATCTCCGAAAAGTGAAAAACTGAAAATTAATAAGTGTTTAATAAATGAGAATACAATTTACTTGAAAACTGATCATTGTAAAAAAAAAGATGCTAAATTGCACACCAAAATAAACTACATATATGCAGATGATAATACATACAGAAGCAGCATCAGTAATGTATCCAGCAAGGCACTTGCTTAAAGTAATGACACTCTCGTCTGAAAGTATGCAGGTGTTTTTATCCAGTGTGATGATCATATTCAGCATACCATGTGTATTGTCTAGAGATGGCTTTTGTGACTGCAGAAAAGAAGAGTAAACGAAGTTTAATAATTAAGTATATACTAATATTGTTAATAAAAAAAGATGTGTGATAATTGGAATCAGAGGGATAAATAAAAAATTGTGTTTCATTTAAAACGGAAAATAAAAAAAGCCAAGGGGCCATTTGAGATCATTTCCATTTTAGTTTATTGTGTGTGTGTGTGTGTGTGTGTGTGTGTGTGTTCGATTAGTTTTGTTCTTGCTTCATTTTTTTAGAGCTTCTATTGTTTCATTTAAAACGGAAAATAAAAAAAGCCAAGGGGCCATTTGAGATCATTTCCATTTTAGTTTATTGTGTGTGTGTGTGTGTGTGTGTGTGTTCGATTAGTTTTGTTCTTGCTTCATTTTTTAGAGCTTCTATTGATTTTTTTGGGTTCAGAATGACATTTTAACCATTCTGACCATTAAATGAATGAAGATTGATTCTTTTAACCGCAAAGCTATATTGGGCTCCAGATGTAACACAATGTGATAAATATATAAAGAATTACTAGACAACCTGAAGAATTTTGACCCAAAAAAACAAAAACAAATGACATTGTGCGTTTAGAACATAGAGCACAAAAAAGAATTTACGTTGGTTCATCCTAAGAACAGACTATCAGTGAAGTTTTCTAACAGCTTTATTCTCCTACATAACATAAAAGCATGTGCTAAAATTTTTTATTAAAATTTAAAAAAAACATGTTATCAAACTCATTATCTTCTAAATCTTTTTTCAAACAATAAAACATGTTGCGTAATTAAGACAAAAAATACAAATGTGCAAGTATTTTAGAAAAAGTTAACATTTTATCATCTTCTAATCCATTATTTTTAAAAATAAAAAATATAATAATAAACATGATCTGAAACAAACCTTAAGGAAACACAGAAAGTTTTTTTTATTGGACTTACAATTTCATTAAAAAAGTTTTTGTACAGCAACTTCAAAACCAAAGAATTGTCGCCCATCAGAGAAAGGCATGAAGAGACATAATCGACAAGGAACTTGAAAGATCCCCGACTTGAGAAATTTCCATCTTTCAACTCTATACAGAACCAATCTGAAATGTAAAAAAGCAGAAACAACCATATTTAAATACTACTACAACAAAAACAATAACAACAACAACAACAAGCGTTTATCCCACTAAGTGAGGTCGGCTACATTAATCCTTTTTCTCCATTTGTGTCCTATTGAGTATCAACAACAACAACTACAATCACATTTAAATGGAACAAAGAAATGAAAAATCTTTCTTACCATTTTCTAAAGAGTGACAAAAATCTCCAAAAGAAAAAAAACAAAGCAGTTATAGAATTCCAAAAGTATGATGAAGAAATAAGTGTGCAAATATTCAAATGGCATATAATAGAAAGTCAATCAAACAGGGAAACAGGGAATAGTCAGCAAGGTTTTATCAAAAAAATCATGCCAGCATAAAATTCAAGATAACCATCACAACTTTTGGATAAAATCCTATTTTATCATTATGGAAAAACTGAAAAACTGTGTGTGTGTGTGTGGCTTTATACAAAAATTTGTATTTTTACATTTAATGAGTTGATTTCCGGCTAAACCAAATTAATTTCAAGCAAGAAATTTTGAATTAAAGCAAACTGATTTCAATTTCAAAACGATTAAAATTTGAGCAATTATTGAACATTTTTTTAATTTCAAACAAAATTATCAGCCCTAATATTGACACAAGCAGGTTGGGTAGATAATTAACATAAAATTAGCAAAGGCTTGAGAAAACAACTTTTGTTTATAATAAGTCAGAAGTGCAATTCATAAAATAATAGATGAAAGTTGTGAAATTAAAATCAAACTAACTATATTTGATTTTTTGGATGCAAGTAATTAAGTGACAAGGAATTCAACAAAAAAACTAGCTACAACCAAAATTCAAATATCATGTAGAACTCAATGGTAATGAATGGAAATAATAAATTGTAATGTCAACCGCAAATAATAGTGATAAAGTGAAAGGAAAATAATGATGATGGTCATCGTCATCACAAAAGTTCATCATTTTTTGGATGAGGTTGTCGGAGTACTGTAACAATAAAGTAATAATCATGAAATTGAACAGAATATTTAAATCTTAGAAAACCTTTACAGAGCATCTAAGACATGGAAACTTAACTACTTAGACATATAGAATAAAAACTAACGAAAATAAGAAAAAAAATTGAAAAGCACGCAAGAAAAGAAAGAATAGGAATTTACTTGGATTAGCTTTAAAGCGAGCCACTAGTGTGAACAAGAACCCAATAAAATGAGAGATATAAACATGACCAGCTCTGTAAGCTGAATTAAGAACCTCAGCAATACGAACAACTACAACTATATCCAGAGTAGGATCTGCATTGTATAAAAGTATATATCAGCTAACAAATAAAAAAAGAATATAAATAAACTAGTTGCCAAAAAATGACTTTCTGGGACACTTATAAGATTTGATTTAAGAAAGAAGTATAAGAGTACATAAAATAATCATCCTTCCTCATAATGGAAAATATAGTGTGACTGGCAATCTAAGTCCTAAACAAAAAGCATTTGGTTATTCCCACCTGTAATAATGTGAGTATGCTAGACATGAGTGCAATGAGCCATGCTCTTGCTTAATTATAACAATCATTTGACTTTCAAGATTGACAGAAGCTCCAAAATTTAAATGATGCTAACTTTTTAGCTTTTTTTGCGTGACACCAAAAAGCAATAATGGGTTGTGGCCCCAAGAAGCAACTTAAGTAGACAATTGAAGGTAATGTGATCCCATTTAAAATTAAAAATAAAGATAAACTATTTTGATATTTAAGATTAAATTTGATGCAACCATATGCAGAGCAATAAACACATTAAATATTAGCCTAAATTGTCTCCAAGAAGTACTTAATCATAAAGGTTTGTGCCTATGAAAAATCTAAAGATAGAATATCATAAAACCCTCACTAAACAAGGGCAAAAAACCTCAACAGTGTCTTCTCTAAAAATCCAATCCACCTTTGAAAACTTGACCCGGAACAACACAAAACTTCTCTCAGGAGAATCAGAATTTCAGATCCCACAATACAAATATCCACCAGCATCTCAAAATTTGACCCGAAACAAACACAAAAACTCCTCGGTGTTATGTGTTGTTCCTCTCAAAAAGTTACAATAGATGTACAGAAATGCATCATTAGGGAAAAACAAAATGAAGCCTATCCTCCTCAAGTAAAGAAAACAGAGCATGTTGTTCATTAACATTTACAAGAATAAACTCCACTCTAAGAATTAAGCGGGAACAATAATTGTTCCGGGTGAAATAAAGTAATTGAGTTTTCTCTCACTCTATCCTAGTGAATAAGATAACCAAAATGGGTGCTGAAGGCATATTCAGTCATTACACCCGTCTCTATCATGTCCCGTGCCATTTTGGGAAGGAGTCATCATGGAGCATGAAATAACGAAGGTTCATCCAAATACTAACCAAACGTCACAAAAAAGAATAAAAAATTGAAAAAGAGTACGCAATTTTCTATGCAGTAATCTATGCAACAAACCAACAGGCCAAAACAAAAGCAAAAACTGAAACAATTTGACATGGCATTTTAGTCATTATGCCCAACAACAACCTCAACTTGGAATATTATTCAAAGAAACAAAAATCAGGCCAACAAAACATGTTATTGCAATTACCTGTTCGGAAAAAACAAAAAAATATGCATGATTAAATCTCACATTTCCAATCACTATCTCAAACATCTGGAACTACCAATTCACCAAAAAAAAAAAGTAATCAAATAGCAATCAAATTTCGAGATAAGTTGTAGCATGAGCAAAGTCAAATGTCACTACTAAATAATAAACCACAAAGCATGACATGAAATATTAAAAATTGAAGCTAAAGTGCAACTGTAACAATTAAATTCATAAAAAATAGCAATGAATAAGATATATGAAACCACCAATAAGTCAATGAAAAAACAAAAGACTAATGTTATAGTTCATATCAAGCTAAATAACACAATTTTTAACCCCATACTCAGAAGCCACCCCAAACGAAATGCATTAGCATCTGTACCCAGAATTATAAATTTTCTGCTCCTAGTATCAAAGACTATTCAAACATACACAAGCATATTAATGATTTACAAGAACTGACATATTTTAAGGCTAAAGAATTCTTAGAACATGAGTGCCAAGCTATCAAGTCCTCCTGGTTGCACAAAAATAAGGAATACGAAGTAGCTTACCTAAGCAGCACAAAGCCAGTGACTCCAGCAAGTCAATGCTTACGCTTGAAAAATAATAGAGACAGCTGATGGCAAGCTCTTGGCAATCAATGGGAAGCTTTATAAAAGGTCCATGCATTTTGGCATCATCAATACCTAAAAATCAATAATAAAAATTCATGAGGTTAATAACCACAGAATCAATTACAGCGCGTCCTAATGGAAAACTTACTTCTTCCATAAAAGCCTGTCAAAACCGACTGCAAGCGATCATACTCCACAGCAAGAAATGAGTTCGGTACAGAAGATTGCCCAATAGATAAAATTAAATTCAAAATAGCCTACAAAACAAATCTAGATTAGACAAATGCATATCTACTATAAGGAAGTATACACAGCCTTTGCAGAAAAAACACTGTTTAAGTAGAATTATGATTAATGCAACTACTTATATCCATCATTGCTTTTCTTGCCAAGCAGTGAATATTGACAAAGTTATGGAATAAAAAATATAAGTATTCTAGAAAATTTTAAAGAAAGACGCTGCACATAACCATGCCCAGACTTATACCAGTTGTCTATTGATAAATAAAAAGTGATCTTATTAATAGAATATTAAAAATGCAAGCACTTAACTCTACAATCTCTCTCCTGTTCATGCTGCCAAAAATAGATTTGTATAATCTTTTTGCTTTATCTATGGATGGTCTTAATGGACATCTACAGGAGGATGACCTTGGTGTGTGCACAATTTTCTAATCTCAAAGAACCAGGAAAAAAACGAGAGAAAAAGCCCAAGAAAAACTTGAATTATGGAGGTCTACATTGGAGTCTAAAGGCCTTCATTTAAGTAGAACTAAAACTGAATACATGAAATGTAATTTTAGAGTAATAGCTCTAGTGATAGAAGTGTGACTTTGGGTGATCAAATTATTAAAAAGTGTGATCGATTTAGATACCTTGGGTCCGTTGTTCAAAGCGATGGTGATATAGATAGGGATGTTAATGGTAGAATTCAAGTTGGTTGGTTGAAGTGGAGGAATGCTTCGGGCCTTTTGTGTGATAGAAAAATACTGCTTAGACTGAAAGAAAAAAATTTATAAGAAAGTGGTGAAACCTGCAATGCTCTATGGCGCTGAATGTTAGCCTTTAAAAGAGAAGCATAATAATAAGTTAAGTGTTGCCGAGATGAGAATGATTAGGTGGAAGAGTGACTTTACACTTAGAGACAAAATGCGAAATGAATATATCCGTGATAGGGTTGGTGTAGCTCCTGTGACGAACAAAATTAGAGAAAGTCATCTTAGATGGTTTGTTCACATTAAACGTCGACCATCTGATGATCCGATTAGAAGAGTAAATGTTTTAGATTCAACTTGTGTTAAGAGAGACAGAGATAGACATAGGAAGACTTGGGCTTATTTTATAAAAAATGATATAATTTACTAGAACTAAATAAAAATATGACACTAAATAGGATGCAATGGAGAAAAAGGATTCATGTAGCCGACCCCACGTAGTGGGATTAAGGCTTTGTTGTTGTTGTTGTTGTTGTTGTTGTTGTAATCTATTTTTTGAAAATCTTTTTAAACAAGTCATATCCATGTAATATTTAGTCCAATTATTTTTCTTTCTAACCCCTTAACATTAATGTTATTAACTTGTCTAACAGGCAATTTATATCCTTCATTGAATACACCAAATCCATCTAAATTAATTTGTAATCACCTTATCTTCAACAGATGTCACTCCAATATGTCATCCAAATTCCAATATAATCATTCCTATATTTATCATTCTCAATTTTATCATGCATATAACATAGTCATTTTGTCATACCCAACTTAAATATCAACGACATTTTTACATAACCAATATTTAGATCCATACAACATTGTCAGCCTAATTACAATTTAAGAAATTTTACCATTAAAACTCCATATGACCTATTTCTCCGGAACTTGAAGGACAATTAATGCTGGGATAGGCACAACTACCGTGGTAGTACTAGGATCTTGCTTCCTGCGGAAGGACAGAGGGCTATCAACAGAATTTCTGAAACAGTTATTCTAGCAAGAAGTCCTTGAAGTCAATTATTCTTGTCAAACCTTCTGTGATGTCGTATAAACTATCTCTCATTGTCAAAAGTTTCTTCAGTTTTCTCGGCAATATTCAGTCTTGCAAAGTTTAAGTTACACAAATTTTACAAACATCAACTGTTATCATCAAACTCAATAAAAATTTCTAGATTTCTTACGTCTTAAAATTTTATAAATCTCAATTTTCTCCTTTCTACCAAATCAATTATATAAATCATAAAGAGCCTTTGTTTTACTCATTACATTCTTTGAAAAGCTATTGGCTTTCTTATAATCATTAGAGGCCTTTAGCACTTGATTTTAGCCATTTTTTAAAAACACATTTTTTCTTCAATAACCCTTCATACCTCCTTATTCAAACGCAAAGTGTACTTTATCAATATACTACCTATTTCTAGAATCTCGTTAAACTTCTAAAACAAGCTGCAAATGGAACTAGCTATTTTATCCCACAAGTTTAGCTCAACAAAAAATAATAATTTGCCCCTCCTAATAACCTGTGCCAAATTTCACCATCTTATCATATAGATATATATATCGAAAAATAAAGCCAATATCGCGGATGTCGTCATTCCGCTCTGCTAGGGTTTCGCCTCATGACGAACCCTAGCGTCTGCTACGGATCTCTCGCGTCGTCGCGTTGCCGTGTTTATGTCGGAAGAACTGTCTTCTCGCCGTGTTGCGGTCTGGCGGCAGAACTGTTCGCTTTCGCACTTCGCGTTCGTTTCTCTAGCGTCAGCTCGACACTGCTCTGCTCGACAGCTAAGCAAGGTCTACCCCAGTCGTCTGCTGCTTCCTTGCAGTGTCTTGACTGTCTTTCTTCATGGCAGCTATTCCTTCCTCTCTTGGGACTGAACCTACTCCGGAGGTGGGCAAACCTTCCTATGCTTACGAACATAACTCATCTTTCCACCTCACAGATAGTTCGATATTCCCGCAGATGTACCATGATTCTGTTGCAAAACATAGTGATTGCAATATCATAAAAAAAGTAGAGAAAAAAGTGGATAAACCAAAAATATTTTTCTCTGACGCTGAAATTTCTACTCGTGCAGAAAAATACAAATTTACACAAATACTACACTAGTTGGAAAGTTCCAATTTGGTCGCCTTAAGATGGAGATTATCAAAAAGGTTTTTGAAGATTTCAAACTAGTTGGGGCTTGACAGTTAGGTTTTTTCGATGGAAGACATGTTATGATATAGCTGAGCATAGAGGAAGATTACACAAAAATTTTCTCAAAGAAATTCATCACAATCGAGGACAATCATATGAAATTGCTTAAATGGACCCCTGTTTGATCCCAGTCAAGAACCGCCAATTGCACGTATCTGGTTTTCATTACTTGAATTCAAACTTCAATTTTTTGACCTACTTATCTTATATGCAATTGGAACTATCCTTGAAAAATCTTTGCAGGTAAACATATTGTTCATTTCTCAAGGCTGCAAGAATTTTGATTGAAATGGATATTACACTACCAGATGTAGAAGAAGTCTGACTTGGCTATGCTCACAATGGTTATTGGCAAAAAATCATTGTGGAACAAAAATCTTACTACTGCAAGCACTGCAGGATGTTGGGACACCCGCAAGAGAAATGTTTCAGATTGCACCCACAGTTGAGAACCAATAGTCAAAAGCAGAAACATGATGTTGGTGCACCCCACGTGACTGAATGCGCTCCCAACAAACCTGATGACAGCCAACCTGAAGAGGAAATCAATACAAAAAAGGAGTTGTTGTCTGCCCTTGGGAACCCATTTCCTGACCATATTATAAGGGATAATGTTCGGAACAAAAATCAGGATAGCCCCTAGCTACTTGTTCTCTGCATGTCTTAAATTTTGACTCTATCTGTATCTTTTCTTTGTGTAGGGGTATTACTGTACTCGGTATCGTATGGGTAGGGTGCCTCTATTGAGCCCTCTCCTACAACATTTATGTATATTTTCTATTTCAATAAAATCAGTCATTGTATATATACTTATATATATATATATATAACAGAAAATATTACCTTATGTGGTATGATCAAGCTTTCTCCCAGAATCAACATGTAATCTTTGCTGGGTGATATATTTTTTCTTCCGAGTATAAAATAAACATTTGTAATTTGGTAAAAGTATTCAAATATTACTTTCATTTCTCAACTTACGTGTTTGCCATCATGAAATCATTGATTATAGCTACATCAAGTATAAATGCTCTCTCTCTCTCTCATTCCAATATCACTACAAACTCTCTCATAGCCCTACATACTAAATATGTTGGCATTTAAAAGAGAAGCATAAAACTAAGTTAAGTGTTGTTGAGATGAGAATGCTTAGGTAGATAAGTGACTAGACACTCAGAGACAAAATCTGAAACGAATAAATCCGTGAAAGGGTTGGTGCAGCTCTAATGGCAGAATTCGAGAGAGTCATCTTAGATGATATGTTCAAATTAAACGTCCACCATATGATGATCCAACTAGGAGAATAGATGTCTTAGATTCTACTTAGGTTAAGAAAGGTAGAGATAGACTTAAAAAGACTTGGGGGCATAATGTATAAAAATGATATTAATTTATTAGAATTAAATGAAAATATTATACTCAATAGGACAATGGAGAAAAAAGAATTCATTTAACTGACCCCACTTTGTGGGATAAAAGCTTGTTGTTGTTATTGTTGTAGTATTAGTTCATTCTTTTTGTTGAAAAAATTACATTTATACCATCTTCTAATCAAATTTAAGAATATATATATGTAGTATCTAGGAAAAATAGTGGCCTATGCTTAGAACAAATCTCTACATACAGCATCTGTGGATTTCAAATAATTGAGCGTGCGCACACACACACATACAAAATCTGTGGATTTCAAAAAACACGCTTATCTCTCGGAAAAGAGGAAAATATTAACTTCATTAGCATGCTCACTAATCTCTTAGAAAAGAGGAAAATATTAACTTCATTAGCATTGTTCACATAATTTTCACTTTCATAAACTGTAAGAGAAGTAACCAACCAAGGAAAGTACAAAGAATGTTGAACCTAAACTTGTCCCCTCCAAGAAAAAAATGTAAGACTCGTGAGATTTATATATCAGACAACAACAATGACCATCTTTAGGAAATTGTAAAAATTCCATGAGTCACAAAAATCAACAAAAATCATAGGATCTTAATGATATACTATTAATCTTTAAAAATGTAGCCCTTTCAAATTATCAAGAAAGTTAATGTATATTTGCCACTTCATATGACAGATATCCTAACACTTGTATAAGTGGAACCTTTCAAAATAACCATAATTTACCTAACGGCATCAACAACGGCATTCTAATTTAGAAAGCCACATCATAACGCAAAAAAAAATACTACCAAACATTATTAAATCCACCATAAAGGTGTAGCAGAAAACATGGGATACATGTCATAAATCTAGCAACCCATAAACAGCCAATGAAAGCATGCAATACATACTTTGAAAACAAGAAAACTTCAGACTTTAATGACAGAGCCATCACTATTATCAGAATTTTCCGGTTGTAAAAATAATGAAAAATATTATCAAGCCGAGCACAAAGGTGAAAGAATAAAAGAAATATAGCGCATGCAGAACACATACTTTGGAAATATTCGCGTGCCTGTCACCAACACGACAAAGGACACTGGGAAGCTCATGAAGCCAATCAACCTGAAAGCCTACCAATTCCGGATAATTGCAAAACTGCAGACTGCAACTTGTTGTCTAGCAAAAGAAAAGAAAAAAGAAGCATTTACAAACATACCACCCATTTCCTATGTAGTTACATATATAACACCTAAACTCTACGTTTTACAATTAAACCACCCAAATCATTCTCATCACACTAAAAAGACCACTATTTTAACTTTTAAAAAATGAAAAACACATTTTCATGCAAAGCTAAGGTGGCATATATGTAAAAATGGAAGTTTAGGTGTTAAATATGTAAATACATAGAAATTGGCTGGTATCTATGTAAATGTTTCAAGAAAAAGAAATAGATTTCATTTAGAGGGCTATTGGAAGATTGATACCGACTAAGAATTTTGTTTAAATTAAGAAATGTAACGGATAACAAAGCTCCAAAATTTCTCCACTTCGAAAAAACATCCAACTAAAAAAAAAAGATAAATCATAAGAAAATCAATGCAGAAGGCTGCTTAAAAAAAGAAACTTACAGGAAGGAGCATTTCTTTTATTGCGCCTAAATACAACAGGCAAATCTGAGAATCCACTTTGCAATCTTTAAAAGCAACAGTAAAGGCCTGCACTCACATCCAAATTGTTTTAGTCAATTTTCCAATTTAAAAGGCACCAAACATTGCTAAAACAGAAAGGAAAAAAAAAGAAGATAAATGTCCGGCATATAGAGTCAAGAAAGGGGATGCGAAATTTTCATGATAAACATGCGGCGAGCACAACAGCCTGCAATATATGCAAGGAAAAAAAAATAAGCAAATGCCAGCCAAAACTGAATATTTATGAAAATAGCACCAATCCGGAAAATTGAACTATTTCATCTGTAAAGAAAAGTTTCAGGTGCTAAATTTAATTATATTAACTAAGCATATTTCCACTGAATGGGTGATAAGCGGCGTCAAAAGAGGTGCGGCAATTCCCGCATCTCCAGAGTCAACGTTCTAGACCCTGCTCTAGACTGGATGCCAGATGTGAGAGCCTCTAGTGGCATGGATCAACACAAAACCAAAGACTGAGGGACCAATCAACTTTCTACATGGGATTACCGTCTCCTTAATGAGAAGGGCCCACTCCTAAGTACTCTGGGCTTATATATTTGCTTTTAGTGTTTTAGGTTTTCTATTTTTTTTTGGTGTGTTTCTGTTGGGACAGCCGTCGACGTCTCCGATTCCCCCTTCTAAAGCTATATCCCAAGGCAAGTGGCTATATCTCATTCTGATGTGGTAATTATCCTTGACTTTCCCTTCATTTGCATCCTTCCCAGCATTGTTGTCGTTACCGTACCAGCTGTAGCTGCCCGGAAGAGCCCTCCTTGGCTGTTTTTCAGGAGTTCACCTTGGCACTGTATTCCAAACACCACACTCCTCCCTTCCGGCTTCTGACCACCTTCCAAGAACAGCATTTACCCCCTTATGCTTCCTGCCAAAACCCCTAAGCAGCTCTCCATCCTCGCTTCCAACACCATTCCAACCCTCCATCTTCATTGTCACTGCTTTGCAGTCATCCCCCTTTGTTGTCATCATCCCGAACAGTCGTTCAACGTTAAAACCTACTGCATCCTTTCTATCTAGAACCTAGGAAATTGTTGTCTTGATGTTTTCTGCTAGCCAAGCCCCTCGTTCACCATCCCACCACATTCCAAACCATCGCCAATTACCACCACTACCCCAAGATCCAAACTTGTTGGGTTTGTGTCATCAGTTGTTGCAGTTTCAGATTTACTGTGTGCGGTGTTTGTTGTTATTTCCTATTTCAGTTGTATGGTTGTAATTTCCTACTTGGTTAAGCAATAATATTTGATTTATTGTTGTTGTTGGTTAACTCTGGTATAAGTTAACATTAGAGCTAGTTTAACCCTAGTCCTAACTTAGGGTTACCTCCACCGAGGAGACAATTGTCGAAAGCTTGATCGAGAGGATACAAAATAATGTCACTTATGAGAAATGCGCAAACAAAGGAACTTTCTAGAAAAATCCTCCAATTGCAACAGAGGTTTGTCACCTTTGAGAGGAGACAATCCGAACGATTTATCAAATTGAAGGGATTAAGTGACTCCCTTCTACAGAGCAATTTCCAGTGATGAAAAACTAATACCCAGGAGATATGACAACATATTAGAGAAGAAGCCAAAATTTTGGAGTGCAGGGAGACTTGCCATATTTTGACGACTCATGGATCCAAATGAATTCATTGAATGACTCCAGGCATTTGAATGTGTCATTGAGCACGAGGATGAACCACCTAACATAATGGTAAAGCTAGCAGCTACCAAATAAAAAAAAAAGTATGTTGTCGTAGTTGGAAATTTTGAAGCATCTCGCCAGCGGGAAAAGAAAAACAAAAGCACTATTCAGTCCGAGAAAAAACGAGAGATGTAGAGCAAGAACCTGTCAGTTCATTATAATACATGACATGTTCTCGAGGCAATATCACCGAGTGACCGCAACATCTTACTGACAGAGTTAAATTCCAGGATCAAACAACAAGAGTACATCCAGTAGAACATCAAAGTCCACCATGTCTGAGGAGAAACTAATTCATAGTGGAGAACATGTAGAGCCAACCAACATTCTCAAATCCGTCCCAGCCAGAAAGTGAGTCAAGTGCCACAACTTTGGGCATAGTACATTTACCCGAATAAAAGTATGAAATATTTCACTGAGCAGGAGTAGTTGAAGAAATGGACGAGGAAATAGTAGACACTAAAGAAGGTGAGGGCCCAAAGGAGAACCGGCTTCCAACTGATGAAGGAGAGATGCATGTAATCCAAGTGGAGCCCTTGAGAGATATCACATCGAGGTTAAAAATAGTTAAAAAAGATAGTAAGTCTGAGGTAATAGGTGTTCATGCAAAGCATGAAGTTATAGTGTCTTGAACTATCTTTTGCAAACGTTAAGAAAAGCATCAAGAGGATTGACATTGGATATTTAGAGGGGTCATGAGATCGAGGAGCCGATATGAGACACAAGGAAACCTCAAGTAAGAAATTCAAAAATTCAAAAATTTTCAGATCCTTTGTTGAGGGATGTCTAACGTATCCAAAAAAAAAAAATTAACTACTTCTAGAAAACCATATGGAGTCATTTGGGTATTAAATTCAGTTTAGTAATATGCCCACGGATAGATGATCAGGTAGGAGGGATGACTCGTAGAGCTAGAAATCGCCTTAAGATTTTTGCGAAAAAAAACATCCTAAAATGGGATTCAGGTTCTTGGCCTCTCCTGAGTGGTTACACTTCAATATGGTCTAGCTTGCCATAGATTTCATTTCAGAGTTGATTCATCCTGACAAACTTATTTATCTGTTATACTAAGTTGAGTACGAGTAGTGAAAAAAAGCAAACTATAGATTAAATTGCCCGAGATATAGCACTAGATTCGGTGGTGCCAAAAGAGAATGGATTTTTATTCTATCAATGTGTGTTTTGGAATGAGGCCACCTACAAGATTGATTTACCTAAAGCTTACAACATTTTTGTTACCTTCAACGCGGCCAACATGATGTCATGCCACGAAGAGACAAAAGCTTCAACATATGAGGTCAAAGCTCCCCTAACACCAGAAGATTGATACAGAGTGTAAAAAGAGGCCGACCCCAGGAGATTGATAAAGAGCGTCAAAAGAGGCACGACAATTGCAGCGTCTCCAAAGTCAATGTTCTGGACCGAAAGCGAGAGCCTATGGCGGCATGGATCGGCTAAAAATTGAAGCATGAGGGGCTCATCAACCATCTTATGTGTGATTACGGCCTCCTTGTGAGAGAGGGCCCATTCCTAAATACTCGGCTTATATTTTGTTTTTCAGGTTTTAGGTTTTCAATTGTTTGGTGTGTTTTCTGTCAGGACAATCTTTCGACATCTCCTGTTTCTGCTTCTACAGTTTAATCCAAAGGGCAAATCTGCTTTTAGAGTTTAATACAAAGGGCAAATGGAGTTCTGACTATATCTCGTTCCAAGGTGGTGACTATTCTCGGCTTTTCCTTCCTCTGCACACTTCTCTATGATGTCACTGTCGCCGTACCTGCAACAGCCCAAAAGCAGCCCTTCTTGGTTGTATTTTTAGTAGTCCACCTTGCCGCCGCATTCCAAACCCTACACTCCTCCCTTCCGAATTGTGAAAGCCTTCCAAGAACCACATTTACCCCTTCTCCTTGTTGCCAACACCCCTAAACAGCCTTCCATCCTTGCTTCCATCGCCATTCCAGCCTTTCATCTTCACTGCCGCTGCTTTCCAGCTATCTCCCTTTACTGCCATCAAACCGAGCAGTCATTCCACGTTGACATATGCTGTGTGCTTGCTGTCATGAACCCGATAAAACATTTCCTTATTGTTTCTACTTGCCAAGCACCTTGTCCACCATCCCACCACCTTTCAAACCCTCGCCGATCACCACAACCACACCACACTACTTGATTTTGTATTGTCATTTGTTGCAATTTCAGATTTCATGTGTCTTGTTTGCTTTTATTTCCTATTTCAGTTGTCTTATTATAATTTCCTATTTGGTCAAGCAATAATATTTTGTTTTCCCGTTGTTCTTGGTTAGCTACGGAATCATTTGGGTCAACTGATTTTCAAATAAAATATCATCTGAACCATCCTTCAGCTATTTCCAAGAACAATACATAAGTTAGCAACTTAAATAAATATGTAAAAGATAAAAGTATTCTATATTGAAGTTCATGATGACAAAATGATGATAAGTACAAATTTTTGCCTAAGTATAGACAATAGGACTTTCCCTCTCAGCATAAGTCCCGATGAATTGCATGGTAAATGATCATGAAAGAAGCAAGTTATTCTTTGAAATATGGAAAAATGAACCTTTAAAAGGGAAGACCTCCAGCTGCTCGTAGCTTGCGATATAAGACTTGGAATAAACGGCAAAATTGGGCATAAATGCTTTTCCAATAATGCTTTGTTACAGGAGGAACTGCAAACAACCTGCAGGATGAATTCCAGCACATCAGCTTTTCACGCAAGATAATCATAGAATCATTTAAATTTTCATCATTATCATTAAAAGTTATCCATCCAGGCACAAAAGAATAGTGGTGCATTTAAAAATGCACAAAAGCTCAAATAAAAAAAAAGGTGGGGTTGATCCGAACAGAAGAATTGCAAACAGTTTGCACACTTGGAAGAACCGAAGTTAAAATGGAAACTTGAGAAATAACGAGTGAGTCATGCAACCAACACAAGAACTTTGTTCTTCTTATAATAATCGCTATTACTATTACTTCGTCTGTCATAAGTGACATAAATGACCTTCATTTTTATAGCTTGAAGGAACATGAGAACTATCTATGGAGGAAAACAATAACAGTATACATCTAACCAAAATGTAGCCACAGGCAATTGAAAGACATTCAATCAACCAAAATCACACGGACATGGAATGATTCAATGTTGAATAATCTAAAAAAAATTATTGATTAATTTAGAAATCAATGTTTGATAATGCATTATTCTGTGTTCAGGTCTCATGTGGGTTAGGGTTATAAGTTAATCAATGCGCTCAATGAATTTAAAGTCAATTCATTTAATAATCATTCAAGTTAGTAGTTAAACAAGTTTAAACGCTTCTTATAAACTTGAAGACTAAATAAAAAAGGTATAGATGCAATCCAACTCATTTAATTACATTCATGAATAAGCTTTTTTGTTGTTCAGCATGTAACTAGTTAAAAACATGATATTAAACTCAGTAACAATTCATATAATATTTTATTAAAATTTAATTAAATATAAATTCTTTAATTAGTCTTACTCTCATGATTCACATCTTATTTAAGTAGTTTGACCTCGTTATCTTCATCTCTCATTCCACACTTTTAATTTGGTATTTTTATATCTCACCAATTACCTACCTAAGCAATGGTATGCCAAGGTTGTGACTCACGTGAACATGTTGATGGGAGGTGCACACATCTTCTATTATTCATCTTCTCAGCCAGCTAACATTTAACATGTGATGAGGCATGCCTGGTCATGTCATCATAACCCTTTATGTACCTTCTCTAGCACGCAACTGTGAAAATCCGAATGTGCAAGCAACCAACAAGAGCCAAATAGCAATAAAGTAGGTCCTGCAAGTCAGATCAACAAGCATTGCTATAATCATGAATAATCGGATATGCAACCAGTTCTTTTGCTGTTTCCTCAAGCCTAACAAAAACCATTCAATTTATAGTGAAGCTTTAAAAAGAGGCAAATATCAACTTCTCATCTACGAAAGGTCTTTAAAGGATATAATCTCCAATTGCTCCAGCACTCTCCCAAAACATTAAAGAATCACCCACGATGAGCCTCTCTCCTCCCTTCATCCTCAAGCACCCATAAGACCTTAATGCTGCACTATTTAATGAAGATTTAATCCAATGGGGTTTTCCTTACCTTTTTTTGTTACAAGTCTCCATCTTAGCTTCAACTCGGTTGTGCTGCTTAGTGCCAGCTAAGTGCAGCTCTTCATAAATGTCTTTAAGCAAAAGGCTTAGAGCCACCCGGCTTCGAAAAAAAAGTCATCTAAGCCTACCCATACTATTACGCCCTCATGCCACTACAAACATCATCAAGCGCAAATCTAATATTTTATCGTCAACATCCTTAGATTGTAGGCTCTTCCTTTATTATGGTATGATTAGAAGGAGAGAAAATGAGAAAGGAAGTGAATTCATGAGTTTGTGCTCCATTGCCAACCCATCCCCAAGCTATGCCAACCCTTCGACAAGTCCAAGAATGCCAAACCATGTGCATAATTAGTCATTTTTTTCAAATAAATTAAAAAAAATTCTAACAAATAATAGAATTATCCTTTAGAATATTCAGATTTCAATATTATAAATATATTTGGATGACTAATTTTACATTAAATGTCCTATAAAACCATAAATTTGAAGAAATGACTCATGGAGAGATCACCATTGATCATGACAGAAAGAGTCGAAGAGGAGATTGGGAGAAAATTTTGAACCCATTCAGTAGGAATGTGATAGGATTCTTGGCAAAAATTAGAAATTATGGCAAATAAATATTTTGTTATAAGAACATCAAACAACTAAATACAAATACATAAGATATGCACCTATAATTCGAGGGGTAGACAATCTCTATCAAATCCTACAATTCGAGGGGTAAAAAATCTATCACAAACTCTAACCCTAAGACACAACCACAATCTCCGCATAAACCTAACTCTAAACGTATTAGCCTTATATACTAAACAACAATAAATGACAAACAATCAGATTGCCCTTAGGCTAATAAAAGATTAAACTACCATTAGACTTCGTCATAACAGTCCTCCCCTCCCAAAAAGACACATTGTCCTCAAGGTGAAAAGAATTGTCGTTGGATCAGATCGTATGACTCCCATGTGGCATCATCATCTGACAATAATTTTCATTTAATCTGAAGCTCGTAGTGACCCTCACTGACTCGAAATGCATTCTTGTAGACATCCTTCGGTCAAATCCGAATCTGCAGAAACCTTAACTTCAAGTCAATCCTAAAGAATATTGCCGCCCCAAACAACTTATCCAGTAGCTTATCGAACCCTAAAATCTCTATTAACTTCGTATCAAGCGTGTTTTTCATGATATGCAACTCGATCACGAATCATAGTCTTCAACGTCACCAACGTCTTGCACAAATTATGATCATCGCGAAGCAACACCATCTTATCTCCCTCTTGAATACCCTACAGTCCCAAAATCATTGCTTTTGAATCGTCTTCCGCTCGGAAGGTTGCTGCCACAAAAGACACTGGTAAATTTGGATGCAGCCCTCCACCAGGGTCAAACTCAACATGATTCCCGTTTCCAGCCAAAATTCTTCGAAGCTTTCTTCTCCAGCCCCAAATCGCATGTAATCTCATTTTACCTATTGTCACCTGTTTCAAACCTCACAATGTCGTGCAATGCCCTCTAGAGGCTACCGCTCAAATCCGCTCCTGACTCCTTCACTTGATAATGTCTGCTTCCATTTGTTCTAACTATCCAAATGTTGCACGATTTCTTTCGAGTGTTGTCACTTGAGTCAACTCTTGATTCCTTTGTTTGATATTGCAGCTCCCATTAAACCTAAAGCAACTATGCTACCCTAATGTCACGCAAATTTTTTGGGTTATTATTGCACGCGTCAATTCCTGATGCATTCGCTCGATTCTGCGGCATGCAAAGGTGATATTGTTTGAAACTTCATGAAATTCTTTATCATTTCTTCTAGGGTTGTGAACTGTCACTCAATGAACGAGAAATGCTTCTCCATTTTTAATCTGACTTGGCACACCTTTTTTTCTATATTTTGTCTACACAACATCCACTTTCTTAGCCATCATTACTCCAAGGAAAACTTTCAAGCACAAAGGCAAAATTTATGTACCCTGAAATCTAATCATTTACTTGCGCGGTTCAGTAATAAAAAAGGGTCGTGTGATTAGTTCACAATTCTGAATGTTGCAATCCTATCTGCTCCCTCAAAATGTGACTATATAGCATGGTTCAATCAGATGACAAGATGGAGATTGTACTCCGCAACCCTGTCGGTTGCCCAGAAAGTTGAAATCGCAGCAGTATAACATCACTGTATGTCGCAATTTCGTCGACTCCCCATACGGCGTAAATCGTGACAATATCATGTCATTGTAAGTCGCGATCTCTCTTCCCAGGGACAAAATGTGATTGTATCGTGCTACTGTAAGTCGTGATACAGTTGCTTCCAGATCATCAAATCGAGTGTTATGTACGCCACAATCCCTCTTCCCAAGCTTGATGCAAACTTTTCAGATACTTTTACTGGCTTTCAGGCTCAATCCATCTGATTCATTCGCTTCTCAAGCGATGGTATCGTGATCCCGAAGTTGCTTTCAATTCGCTTGCGAGACTGTACCACCATATTAGGTCATGAAGACAATTCCATCATTGCTTCTCATAATCGAAATGCTCTGATACCATTTGATAGGAATCTGGGCAAACAAATATTTTATTGTAAGAGCATCAGACAACTCAATACGAATACATAAGATAAACGCCTGTAATTCGAGAGGAAGGTGATCTCTCTCAAATTCTACCATTCGAGAGGTAGAAAATCTCTCACAAACCTTAACTCTAAGACTCACAGCCACAATCTCATGCATAACCCGAAAAAAATTAGCATTATGTATACTAGACAATAATAAATGTTAAATGAAAAAATTACTCTCACGCTAATACAGACTAAATTACCCTTAGGAGCTATCATAACAGAATTATTCCAGTGATGAGGATGGTAAGTGAAGAGGATGGTAGGCCACAACATTTTGGAATTCAGTATTAAAGGAGATCGAGGGATGAAGTAACAGTTGAAGGACAAAGACCTTGGAGCGAAGGTAAACTTATTTTCAAGGGGAGAATAAATCCTGATAACTTCACTGAGTGGCTGCAAAGATGATTTTTGAGTATGAGGAAGTGTCAGCTGATAGAAGAGTGAAGCTTGTTGCCATAAAAGTGTAGATGAGCGTCTCTTTATAGTGGGAGAATCTGCAGAAAGAAAAAGAAAAGATTGGAATAAGATGACTATGTGGGAGAAGATGAAGATCATGCAAAGGAATACCTACCTTTGCACTGCCGGTAGAACATGTTCTTGAAGCTCAAGCACCTACATTAGAGAGAGTTGATGGTGGAAGAGTTTACAGTAGCAATTGAGCATTTTATGTTGAAGTGTGAGATAACAGAGCCAGAGGAAGACAGTACAACCAAATATTTGAAAGACCAGAAGCCCTCCATCAGCAATATTGTCCAACTAAAGTCGTACTGGTCATTGGATGATGTTCAAACCTTAGCATTGAAGGTAGAGAAATAGCTTAAACAGGTCATGACCCCGTCTTCATTCAGACTGCCACCTACAAGAGAAGGAGCCAGCAGTACACCTAAGAATAGTGTGAAACAATCCATAAAGATAATAGAGTTGATCAAAGTGGAAAGAAGTCCGAAAGAATAATACACCTAGCACAATGCCCGCAATAAAGTGTTATAGATTTCATAAGCACACTACCATATGTGATTTCTTCATTGAGCAGAGAGTAGTAGAAGAATTGGACAGTGGTACTGGAGACGGGAGAGTGAGAATGTGTAGGAGTACCAACTTCTAGGTGATAAGAGTTAGATGTTGGTGGTTGACAGTCCTTCAGAATGAGGCTAGAAGAGAGCAGATGTGGTTTCACCGCATCTTTCATGCCCGTTGACTATGAAGAAAAATGTGTGCAGCCTTATCATTGATGAACATAGTAGAAAGAATGCGGCGTCTACACAGCTTGTAGATAAGTTTAGTCTCACCACTCAGAGACATTCTCAGTCATATTCCCTGACTTGGTTGAAAAAGGAGAATAGGATTAGCATTGACAATAGATGCCTTGTGGAATTTTTAATTGGGAATCAACTGTAGGATCACGTGTGATGTGGTGTTGTGCCCAAGGATGCCTACCATATTATGTTGAGAAGAAAGTGACAGTTTGATCATCAAATGTGGCATGCGGGTTCAAGAGCACCTACTCATTTGTCAAGGGTGAAAAGCGCATAGTTCTCCTACTTTCTATGGAGTTTGCGGCTGTAGGTTCTCATATCATGAGAGAGACGTCGGTGAGATCAGTTTTGGTGATGTTATAGGGTAATGAGATTGATGAGCCAATATCAGACATAGGACAGCTAATACAAAGAGAGTTTCAGGATCTTAACCGACAACTTACTGCCAAAGCAATCCAGTGAGATCAATTTTGGTGATGTTCAAGGTTAATGAGACATATGAGACGATATCAGACACAGGGCAGCTATTACAAAGAGAGTTTTAGGATATCACGACCGACAACTTACTGTCAAGGCAATCACCATTAGAGAAAGTTCAGTCTACCTTCACTTCAGAGAGGGATAAGCCAAACTTGGGTAATGCATGCAAATATATATCATGACCGACAACTTATTGTCAAGGCTATCACATTAGAGAAAGTTCCTGTTGGTTTAGGGTTAAGTTTTTCGTCTGTTTGATTTGGGACACCCATCAGCATCTCTCTTTTCCCTTCTAGTGCTCCAGATGTATTTCGCTTTCGAGGTAGTGATTATCCTTCCTCTACCTCTCCCCCATCAATCTAGCATCGCGGCGCGCCGCGCCTCACTCCCTTGCTAGTCCAGCCGCCTTTCTTTGTTGACGCCACCCAAGACAACCACCTTTTTGTTGTTTCTGCAGTCCACCATCATCCCCTTGTTGTCACCCATCCTTCCAGCCCCTAACCGGCCTTTAGCAACCTCTTTGGAGGTTAAAACCCCTAGCCAACACCCCTCCACTCTCGATCCACCCCTATTTAGTATCATGTGTTGTGTTTGTAGCAATTTCATATTTATGTTAAGTTGTAATTTCCTATTTGAATTCAAAAATAATATTTGTGCGTCATTGGTGTTTGGTTAACCCCGATATCAACCGGTCATTGGATTTTCTTAGCCACACCACCAAAAACGTCAGATTTGATCATGACTTGGACATGACACTAAGTATGTCGTCAATCAGCTAATTCTGTATAATCATAAAAGATGGATTCTGGAAATAATAATGAATGAGCGGCAAAAAAAATCGAAAAAAAAAAAACTATTAAACAGGCACTAACTTTATTAGCAATCGTGAAGAATTTAGAGTTGTGTATAATCATAAAAGATGACAGCACAGATAACTTAAGCAAGTAAAATAAAATATATAGCAAGCACAAGAACAAGAGTAAACAAGCATGCTCTTTATCAGATAATTTAAGTATAAATCAAATGGCAAATTCAAAAAAAATGTTATGAATGTCAACCTCCCCGAGAAGAGAACTCTCAATGAACCCTAGAAATTTCTCAATTGGAAATGGGCTGTCGTTGATCCAAGGAAACAGGTGCAAAAATGTCTCTGTAATTTTAAGATTCAAAAGCAAATACCTCTCATCATCCTGCAAAGAGTCCAAAAATAATAATAATAATGAGCAAAGAAAATAGGACTACCAGTTATTTGGGAAGAGGGAGAGGGGGTGTTGACTGGACATGTTTGCAACAGTGTCCGTGCATGTAGGAGAAAATACAAAAACCTTCAATAATCATGCACAACAAGAGAAAAACTTTCACAGTTTTAGAAATGAGAACTTGTGTTTTTTTTTTTTATAAAATAAAAAATCCAGTTATTACAGTGGCTACCTGCTCTACAATGTTGTTTTGCAAGATGCCAAGCCAGATCCTAAAATAATAGCAGCCTAATATTCAAAATTACATGAATAAGCTATAAAAGGGAATTTTTATGAGCATGTAAATCTTAAATTCAGGCCGGCACATTCATCTAATAGAAATAAGTCATTAGATAGTACTAAAAGTTTAAAGAAATTGGATAGCCTTTAAAGAATTTATATTTCTATGAATAGTTCATATAACATAATTCAAACCTCAACTACAATGTCATGGCGAACAAATGGATAAAAGAACAAGTGACATGAACATAAGTGCAAGGCAAATTAAAATAAATGGATAATAAAAAAGGGAAATTTACATACCTAGCACACAATTTTTATGTATTTACATATCTCACAACTAAACTTTCTCATTTACATACATAGCACTTTGGTGCTTTAAGCTTATGCATGAAAGTGTGTGTTTCACTTTAAAAAAGTGATAATAGTGCTATTTTCATATGATATTAAATATCTAAGTGCTATGCGTGTGAATATGAAAGTTTAGGAGATATGTAAATACAAAAGAATTGTGTGCTATGTATGTACATGCACTGATATGTACATGCACTGATAAAAGGACAAAAAAAAAAACATAAAAACAAACCTTTGGAGTAGATCGATGCATTTTGACTATCGGAAATATTTCCCATAACTTTTTCAGAAGTACAAGCATGTCATAAGGACCTCCATCAGGCAGCGAAGTCGAGTGTGCAGGCATTACAAGAAATTTATTTATGTTTTTAACATAGAGAGTGACTGACAGATTTATGCACTGAAGCATAAATAAAAAGCAATCAAAAGATTCTGTATCAATTGTAGACATCGACCGGATCACTGAACTGGATTCTTGGAAACAGCTGACTAATGCTGGCACAAGATCTTGAAACCTCTTTACAGCCAACAAAACTACTTAACAAAAATTTAGGAAAACAAAAATTGATGTATTAATAACATCCACAAAGTGAAAGCGCATTACAAAAATCAAAAAGACAGATTAACAGATTTATTTGAAAAAAAATATAAGATGGCTGATTATTGTTGACATAACCACAAGAACAACAACAAAATAGCCTATATGTAGAGGACACTCATAAGTGTTTGAAAAATAAGGGTGTCGGCTAAGTAAGCTTATTGCCAACACTAAGTCTTCGTTGAGGACTTGGATCTAAAGTTTCTTATGGTAGAGGATTCTAGACATAAACTTAGGAATATTATGGTAACATATTTAAATATGGTCGGGATTATTTGATAAAATTTCAAGCGGTTTATAGGCCAAAAGTAGCCTAACTTGGACAAATTTGATTAATCTTAGAATAGTGAGTTAGTATAGAGCCTTAAAAGTGTATTCAAGGGCTGAAAAAGCTGTGTAGTGTAAGGAGAGAGAATGAATATCTGATCTAAAGTGATCATAGAGATTTAAGATGTTTCAGAGATAATGAAGAAAAAAAAACCAAAACTAGGTCAAGAGGATCACTAGCTCGGCCAAAGGCTTCAAGAGGGTTTTGGAATTTTTTAGAGAAGTAAATTTTGAGAAATGTTGTAGGATGAATGTAAAATAATGAAGGAAAATGTTCTGAGAAATTGGACAATCATTAACTTTCAAGGTTTTGTTTTTCTCTATATTATATGCCCTAGTGTTTTGTTTATAGATCATAAAATAATATATTTCAGTCAAATCCACATACACGTTGAGAATAAGCGCTAGTTCTGCCAGAACTTGAATTAATAGTGTTACTGTTAAAGTAATTATCCACCAAATCTTCTTTTTGTGTTGCTCTTGGTGATACTACCAACCTTAATAAGAATAATTATCAAACTAAGGATACATATCAGCAATTTTAATTTAAGATCGATATAGATATTTTGAATGCCTTGTCCGAATCTCAAACAAATTTTCTAAACAATAAAATGCAATGGCACCATAATCATGAGAATCTCATCTTAAATTTGCATCTAATCAATAAAAGAAATAATATATGACAGGCATAATTTAAGACAATATCTTTATGGTAAATTTAAATACATACCACATGATTGTTATATATTTACATATCTAACAACCAAAGTTGGATATTTACACTTAGAACATCTTGGTGTAACAAACTTATGCATGAAAAGGTGTACCTTACTTTTAAAAAGTTAGTGATAGTGCTACTTTAGATGATGTTAAAAATCTCATTGGTAAACAGGTAAAAATGAATGTTTAGGTGTTATATACGTAAATACATAAGAATTATGCGGTATGTATGTAAATGCCCCTAACTTTATACCTGCATCATCACAGCGTGCTTCACTTTTGTAACTGTGTAAACACATTTTCTCATTGATGTTCTGCATACATTAAAAATGAAAAAAAATAAAATATTCGGTGAGTCCTTGCTCTAAAAAAGATAAAATTCAGATGAATAAAAAACATTATAATTAACAACTAAATAAGAATCTAATCAAGAGCAGCTGAAACCCACCAATTATTTAATTCTCAATTAAAAAGGATCAGGCATTAAAAGCAAGCAACAGAATTCAACATAATGAGCTTAATGTCATGGACAAATAGTCCCACATCGGCTAGGTGTAGGGCCGAAAAACAGTATTTAAGTCCTGGGCTGCCCACCACCCATAAGGGCTCTTTTGGGAGGTGACAAGTGGTATCAGAGCATATTACTGCCTGCCAGGTGTGTGGACTCTCCATGGTCCAGTGGGACCCTCGGTGGAGCCGATCCGTGACGAGGACGTCACGTGATTGGGTGGAGTAGAATGTCATGGACAAATAGTCCCACATCGGCTAGGTGTAGGGCCGAAAAGCAATATTTAAGTCCTGGGCTGCCCACCACTCATAAGGGCTCTTTTGGGAGGTGACATTAAGCACACTTAATTTACAATAACTTAAAAAATGACAAATAAAAGGATGTGATTGACAGTATTAGTATAGATATTAACACATTGCTCGCAAAAAAAAAAAAACATTTGCTGATTCAAGAAAAGGCATAAAATATATCATAATAAGTTGAACACTATATCTCTACAACCATAGCTCTTCTGTGAGTTCCAAGATATCAACCAAGGTTTTAATAAACAGATATTTAACATGTTCATAAACTATGCATATATCCTACAGAAACTAATTTTATCAGCAATCAATGCGCAAAATTGGAAATATGCAAAAGATAAAGTATTCATACTTTAATAGGCCAAGAAAGTAGCATATTTAATCAATGAGAATCCTCCAGTGTAAGAACAAAATTGAAAACATCTCTTTACAGCTCGAAACAATTATCTTAGATTTTTGGGGGCAGTTTGAGAATCACTTTTTATAATAATATTTTTATATGTAAGAAAATATGTTTGATATCTTAAATATAGGTTATTTTAAATTTTTACTGAATACTGCAAAAATCTATTTATTTTACAAGTTGAAAGAGAGGTGGTGATCCATTGTGTTGGTACAACATTGTCAAAACTAATGCTAAAGGTTAATTGGCCTAGTCAGGACAATAGTGCCTTGCACATTTATCTGGCAGGTAACACTACTAAAGCCAAGGAGAATACCAGAGGAAGACAAGGGCCTTACCTTGATTTAAAAAATAAATGCTAATGTTTTAATGATGAAAACAAGCTTATTTTTTATGATGGTAACTTGATATAGGAAGATGCATAGAGCATCAAAAATTTTAGAAATAATGATGCATTCTTGAAAATAATATTAGAAAAACTTATTCACAAGGTGGTGAAGATCTAGATTATTAAATCATTAAAATTAAAAGGTTAAGTTCGATAAGATAAAGGAAAACATAAATAACAAAAAATGAAAGCATTAAAAAAAACATGCACGATGATAAAGATTAAATACAAAATGATGAAGATTATATTATCCATAAGATATGCACGCCAAAATTTTAGTTTAAATGTATATATGATAAATTAGCGTGATTTCAAACTTAGAATGAGATGGAATTTAGAGATTCGTCATTATGCCCAACATGATTCAAGTAAATATTATTAAAATAAAAGTACAAGTTATATAACAATTTCTTGTTAGGTCATGTTGCGCTCAGTAGATATGCTATGATGGAGCCTAGCATCTTGGAGATCGGATAGTCGTATCGCCTAGAGAGCACTCCGTGTTATAGATATCACTAACCATGGCCCAAAATAACCATTCCCAAAATTTAAAACAAACTATTTTTCAAAACACTAAAGGAAATTCCATCTAATTTATTTGAAGTAAGACATTTATACTCATCTTGAAGTAAATTGGAGGATGGCCAACTCAATCTCAATCAAATGCCAAAAAGAATCACAACTATTTATTCCTTTTCAATGACATGAAGCGATGCATGTGAATCAAGAGGTCTATAGCTAAGAAAAGATCTACAGGCATTTAGAAGGCAGAAGGTTAATCAAACAGAGAAGGCCAACAAAGTAAGGAAAATAGCAGAGAAAACTACATAATTGAAATAAGACACATGGATACGGTAAATGGACTCAACAGAGTGGCTCCGCCAAAGAGACCATGGCGATAGGCAAGTCATGGACATGAGATCAAATAGACCCTTAATTCTTATTAACTTCTTAACAAGGCCTCTTACTGCTCCATCCCACTTATCTATTATAATCTCCACACAATTTTATATGCTTCTTATATAACAACACCAAATAATCTCTAAATTTCAATTCATTATTTTCATTTTTTCATATCCTTTTATTTTAATATAAAATCTAGGAGTTTAATTGGACTTTTAAGCATCTGAGAATGATGACGGTAAGTTATTTATATGCATCAAGGAGAGCTCGTCATCTTATGACTCTAACTTTGAAGTAACATTCTCAATAAATTATTTACTATTTTGCACCAACTAGTTTGATATCAAATTTAACTGAAAATTTACCTAAAGGCAGAGAAATTAAAACCTTCCCTCACCCAACCACAACATATCCCACAATACCACCACATTTTCTCCTCACATATTATTTATTATTGTTGAAATTTAGAATAATACGAAAGAAAGCGAGCTAATATTATTGATATGAAATGGGTGTATAAATACCCTTACATGAATCCTAGAATATCCTAGAATAGAAACGACAATATAAAGAAATAACAAGAAAAAACAAAGATATAACACCTAATATCACCAATAAACAATTCATATTAATTATTTGGAGATGTATAAAATAACATAAAATAGGAAAGAAAATAACTCCTAATCCAAGAAAATAACTCCTAATCCAAGAAAATAAATATAAAATACAAAAGAAAATAACTTATTCCTCGTAACTTCTCACAAAAATAAATTATTTCCTAATATAACTTCTAACACTCCCCCTCAAGTCAAAACGTGATTGAAAATCATGTACTTGAATTTTGAAAAACATCAAACAATGAGCGAGGAAGGTCTTGTGACGTAGAATTTGAAGTCATCGACTCCAGTTCCTGCAGTGTCTGTAGATAGACAGAAGACTCCTACAGGTAATGTTGAAGGGGAGTTTGCAAGGAAATAGATAACTTTGTTTGTCTTTGACTACAGTTCCAGCAGCGTATGTAGGTAGGCAAAAGACTCCTACAGGTAATGTTACAGGGGAGTTTGTAAGAAAGTAGACAACATACAAAAAAAGCTATAGGGTATGACTTGCAAAAAAAGGGAAGGGTCCTGAGGTTGGCCTTGCTACAAAAAAAGCTTTGGAGGGTCTGCTACAGAAAAGTTTCCGGATGAGGGCCCAATGTAAGAGAAAGCTCCAAAGAAGGGTCTGATTCAAGAAAAGACTCTCGAGGAGGGTCTGCTGAAAAGAATTCCGGTTGAGGACCGTCTACGAGAAAAGCTCCAAAACTTTTTCCTGCAGTTCTTCTATGCCCTCAAATAGCAGCAATCAATTCATCCACAGAAATAAGTTCTAGCAAAGGTCCCCAAAAATAAGTCATATCTTAATGCCTCCTTTGATGCACTCACAAGTGCCGCCACATTTCTGACCGCCCCCACCTTTCTCTCATAGACCCTCTTCAATCCACAACTCCTCAACCAATCAAGTATAGAGAAAAGTGAAAGTCCGTCCTTGATATCCATGTCGATAGAAAATCTCTTCTCGGCAACCTTGAGACACCTCCTCGACCACCTACAGTCATCTTTCGTAACCACTAGAAGATAAATGAAAAATGCAGGGGCATAGTACATGCTCATCTGCTTGTGGTTGATTATAAGGTTGAAAAGCAATAACCCCAAGTGTAAGCCCCGGGCTTATACAATTATACCAGAAAAGACCATGGTCAACGAGGATCAAGAATGGATTAAGCAAAATCATAGCCGATAACCATGGCACAGACCCTTCTCCCGTTGCCGCCAAATTTTCTGCAGTAAACAATTGTAAAACAAATAGCAATCCGGAAGACAAGAAAACCTGAAACAAGCATCGCCCGCCTCATCAGAAGCTTCGATCCATGTGATTCGAAACCGCGTGAGGTAATCAAGCTTAGGTAGTTGGGCACCGAGTAATTTACAAGGAGGGCGCAAGGCTTTGATATGCAGTGAGCGCAGGACAATTGAGACCCCTATAGGAAAAATTATTGTTGCTTGTATTGTGATACCACTCTCTTGTTGGCATATGAAGTGATATATCCATCCAATGGTGTCGCACCTCGCAATCCCTGTACATAGGCGGTGTGGCCTCGCCGGAATATGGGTCAAGCGAGACGAGAATGCGAACCAAAGAAGTAAAGAGGAAGATTATCACTCATATCATCGATTTTAGCGTCATGTTCGACCATGGCAACTCGTTAGGGCTGTCGACTTCTTCCATCCTCCGCTTCTTCCCCTCCATGGATCTCCCTCGACTTGATTGTAGTTGTGAACCAAGTACTCACAGGAAAGACAATAAAAAACTCTTACATGAATAAGTATTGGATTTATTAGATTTATTGGTTTTCCATAGTTGTTATTATTTACTAATTATTTTTATTCTCCATTATGTAGTTTCTTTTTAATTGTTATTTTGATTTTATTTCTTTGATTGTATTTTTATTTCTTCCTTTATTTAAGGATTGTAAAGGTTTAAATACCCCTCTTTGTATTAATAAGAATTATGTTGATCTAATCACAAATTCAACATAGTATGAGAACCACGACTCTAACCATAGAGGTTCTACCCTAGTTGGCCGACAGCCACCTTCTAGCATCTACCTAGTATGTTATTTTTTCCTTCAGCCTATGGTTCCAACATCTGTTCGGCAAGTTCCTTCAACCAGCTGTTCCTTCAACCGTTTTTTCTCCAACTATAATCGTTGTTGCTCTGCATCAGCGCTAATTCCTTCTGTCGTAGGTTTTCCCGTATGACCCCTTCAGATGCTGCTCCTTTCAACCGGTACAATTTCTTTAGTCAATACTTCCCGCTTATTCCTTCTGCCCCATTGCTTCCAACCGATACAATTCCTTGAACCGCTGCTTCCAGCCGCTAATTCCAGCTGCTGATACTCCAACCGACCCATGTCTCCCTAGTGTCGCTGATCCTCCTTACGGGTTCCAGAAGCAGCAGCCTTTTCTTGTACACAGGATCCTCAATTACATAAGCCACAAGATCCTCAATTCCCGTGGTGCATCAGTTCCAGCGCAGCCACCGATTCTGCAAGGAGTCTGGTAGTTGTCCAACGCCGGTGTTTCCTTCAAAGATTTTCTTTCCTGCAATTGTATCTGTTCGTCATGATCCTAAGGGAATTCACCTATGGCTCGAAACCACAAACCTAACCACACTCGGAATAAGTGTTGGAATTTTCAAGGTGATTCATCATACAAACCTTCGGTCAAATCCTCTTATGCTAAAGACTCAAGGCAGTGATCGAGCCCACATGGCTCAACCGACTCCTACACAGAACATCATAGAATCCTCTGAATCCCTAAAAAAACCAGATTGAGCAATTGATCAAGCTTTTTGAAGCCCATCAAGTCTCAACGGGTACATTGACCTCCTACATCCGACAAGATACTCTTCCTATGGCTTTCATGACTTATTTCGCCTCTAGTCCATAGATTATTGATTCAGATGTCACAGATCACATGAATTGATGCTCACAAGTTTTCTCGACTTATTATCCATGCTTTGGAAATGATACCTTAAGAATTGTTGATGGCTACTGTAGTTCCATTTCCGATAAATGGTCGGTTGTACGAAGAAGAGATCTAACTCTGGAGTCTCTGTTACATGTTCCCCGGTTGAAATGTAATTTGTTATATGTCAGCAAGTTGTCGAATGATATTAATTGTGTTGTTAATTTCTCTTTGAAAGTTGTGTTTTTCATAATCGTCGTTCGAGAGTTCTAGCTTACCTCGAGTCATTGAATGTCTCATTATATTGTTGCATTATCTTTCAGATCATTTGAGTTTTCAATATTTAAAAAATTCGTATCATTAGATGTTTTCTAATAATTTTTTTTTTAATTTCAATTGTGAAACATCAGTTAGTCAAACACCATCAAGTCTATTACCCAACCCACACTTACACATCTTCAACTTCTTCCTCTCATTCACTGTGACCTATGGGGACTCTCTCGCACTCTAAAATACACCAATAAAATGTGGTTCCTGACTTTGATTGATGACCACATTCGAATGACATGGGTCTATACTTTAAAAGACAAATCTGAGGTTGTCACCTTCCAAAACTTCTATACATTTATTTTAACTCAATTCAAAATTCCTATTTAAGTCTTTGGAACCGATAATGGTCGTGAGTTTTTCAACTCTATTTTGGGTGAATTCTTGGTGAGTAAGGGTATCCAAGCTCATGTACTGACGCTCCTCAATAAAATGGGTAGCCACGAGACAAAATCATCACCTCAATGACTTTGTCCACTTTATTAGGTTTCAATCTAATGTCCCTAAACGGTTTTGAAACGATGTCATTCTCATTGCTAAATATCGCATAAAAAGAGTCATCTAAAATCAACAAGTTTCGAACCCCCTAGCTATCCTGATGTCTTTCTTCCCCGCTAATCAGATCTTCTCCACCTTAGACCCCAAGATTTTTTGGTGCACTGCTTTTGTTTGGAAAACTACCCCCAATCATAGTAAATTTGATCTCGAATCCATAAAATATTTCTTCCTTGAGTATTCCGCCACTCAAGAAGGGTATCAGTGTCTTGATCCTACCATTAACAAAAATTATGTGAGTGATGATGTCTCCTTCTTTGAAAGTGTACCATATTTTCCGAGCTCGACCCCAAGTAAGGGTGAGCATGAGTTCTTAGACAATGTCCTTTATCTTAACCCTATATATGTTCCCCCAATTGTTCCTTAGGAACGAGCTCGAGATATAATTGACCTTAGGAACTAGCTCTTATAGAAAACTCAAACCACAGCATAAAAAATATTGTTTTTAGTTCTTATAAAATTTAGGAGAAATCTTATAAAAATTTTATAAATATTTTTCTTCAACTAAGCCTAGAGTAGTTTATTTCTTATTTTTTTATCTAGTCGATCATCACCAGTGAATGCTATTTCAAAGCCCAGAAGTATGTCAAAAGCACAGGTTTCACGAAGAAAACAATATATTCTAATTTCATTAGAACATGCAAGAGAATAAACTGAAACTAAATCATAAAAAGCCAACAAAAAAATAAATGAAAAATTGATTAAGATGAAAATAAACCAAAAAAACAACATACTACATAGTCTACATGAGATCCTAACCAATAGAAGGAAAAACAAGCGATACCTGTCCATTGAGATCATCCTCCTCACTCTTGCTGACCAACAGGGAAAGGCAATGAACTAATCCACCAAGAGCATTCCTGAGGTTGCTCTTTTCTTGTAGATACTTTAGATGATTTCTGAGAATATCAATATAGTTGTCAATAACCTATCAAAAATAAAGTAAAACTTATTATTAAAAGAAATGACATATCCGACAATAATACCGTAGCTAAAACACAATCAAAGCACTAAAATCAACAAAATGGTGTGATTCAAACATTTTATGATGGCCAATTGTTTCAGCAATTCTTCGATTAGCCAAAAAAAAACATCAAACTTTTATAAGAGTGGTTTTAGCATAGAAGTAAAGAACAAGAAAAATACAACAAAATCATTACACACTACTAAAAATTAAGATTATATTATGCAAGCTATGCAATCCAGCCTAGAAAATAAAGAAATTAAAAATATCATGTAAATACATTCAGAAAATGAAAAATAAAAAAACTGTGAAATACAACTCAATTAAATCCCCAATAAGCCCGCACAAACATCTTCACTAACCTAAAGGCTCTAAAAGTGGAGAACATCTTCTAATGCAAAACATATTTGTTAATTACAAAAAAAAAGAGTTCATCCAAGGCATTAACCAAAGGATAACAGAGCATAAAAAAACTACAACACGACGAAAAAGATGTCTAGATTTCATTTGGGTCATCTGGCATGAAGCATGGAATAAATAAAAGAGAACCCATAGGTTTGATTGATAGTTTGGAAATGTCTTAAGTCAGCGGCATAAGCTAATATCTTATCATATAAAATTATTAATTAAAATCAAGATCAATGTCAATTTTGAAGAGTGAAATTTAAAAACAAATGAAAATTTAAGAACACTGAGAAAGAAAGCAACAGCATGTCCCACATAACACAAAAAAATGTTATTAATGACGTAATAATTTGATTAGTTCAAGAATCAAGCCAGCATATATTAGAAGCCAAAACACTTATAAACATTACAATCTGATTTATATAAGTATCAAACAAACATACCATGCTAAAAAGCACTTGTATACGAACCTGACCAGTATATATGGTAAAGGAAGAGGGGTAGTTCAGAACAACGAGTTTGAAGAGCTTAAAAGCCATCAGACGGATATCAACTGCAATATGTGTCATCGCACTGAATACATAAACCATTAACAAAGAGATTGAAGGCCCGGTTGCATCCTGAAAAAAAAAACCAGGTAAACAATTAGAACCAATGAAAGAAAAAAATCAGAGCAAAGCTTTATCCTAAACAGACAAATAATGTCAGTCAAAATGCAAAATTGCAAATAGCAATGAATGGAAAAGGAAATGTTTTGGTAGCTTTCGAAAATTATTATTCCAAGCCTAACTCAAAGACTTAAGGAAAATAAATTCCCAATGATAAAAATTAGTAATCAGGAAAACTAATTATTGTAGAAATACAAGAAGCACAAGAAACAAAATAAAACCAGCTCCACAAATGCATAAGCAGTTTTATGTTTTATCTGAAACTCTCAATGCACTAATATAACAATGCAGCCACCTAAATACCTATATTGCTGACAAAATATAAGGAAATTTGCAAAGCATACAAAAAGAAAATATAGATTTTCTTTGTTCATTCATAAATCAATAGTTCAATAAATGGTTTATCATGCTAGATAGGAAAACTACGATGAAGTTGTATGAAAGATAGAAGAAAAAGCAATATGATTGGGAGCAACAAAAATTTATAGCCATCGCAGCTCAGAGCAATATACCAAAAAACACATTACAAATCTAGCTAATCACATCATAGGACCATGAATAAATATAGCATAGATGTCGATGACAATGAAGAAAGAATACAAATTAAATAATTACCTCTTTCAGAGAAGGAAAGATAACTGTCTTTAAAATTTGATACAAAGTTTCACGAACCATTTTGTCTTTGTCACAAACCCGGTCCCTTAGCTTCTCTATCAGGGCAAGCTTGTGAAGTTTAAGCTCTGATGGATGTTTTGACACCAAATCTTTAATACCTATTAAAGCAGCTGATAAAAAAGCAAGAGAAAAAGAATAAAAACCACATGAAATCCTGTCAAAACAATGAAGTAAATTAAGATTGGCACAACTGCACATCATACTTCCTCGGTAGCCGCATTTAAACATGTAGTAATCATGAAGTGAATTAAATTGATCACATAAACAATATCAAATTTCAATAAAAGTTATAAATAAAGTCAAAAAAGAGTTAAAATAAAATCAATCACTTATCTATGCCACATCCGCCATCATTTTATATGATTTCAAAAGCTTGATCTTGAGTATACATTAAATGTTGAAATAGAAATTGCCAAATTTTCCATCTTCGACACTCTTCTAAGGCCTAAGATTTCCATCGTCGACACTCTTCTAAGGCCTAAAATTTCCATCTTCGACATCCAAAGATCAACTTACTCTTCCCTCAAAATAACATATGTGCTTGAAGTGTTGACGCTAATATCAACCCAAGCATATCAGCGAGCAGATTTTTCTCAACAAAAAGTTTCAATTAGTGAAAATTATCATTATAATCATTAGAATATTTAAACAATTTGTTGTTGTCTTTATGAATACTCCTCCAATATTTCATGTCCAATTTCAATTTGAGAATTTAACCTAGTTTGTACAAGTCTTTATTCACTTCTAGTTGTTTAAACTTTAGTTTGTCTATTTTTCTTCTAAATTATTTCATATAAATTCAATCGCCTTGCATTATTTGTACATTATCTTAATTTTATCTTAAAAGTAATATGGTTAAAGAATGTTATTCAAATCATCTATATAATGTAACAACTTCAATTCTACCATTAATTTTACTAAAAATCCATCTCAAGGTTCTCATTTCTAATACACAGCTTGATTGCCATTGTCGTTGACTTCTTCAACATTTATCCCTCAAATCCATGTAGAAACATAATCATCACTATCCTTATTCTAGCTACTAAGTTGGTTTATGAATCTACTTCTCCAAAAATAAAGGAGGTTCCCATTGTAATTGACAAATTTTTACTTATAATTTTCATGATTGCATTGCGCAACAAAAAGAAATTTCCCCATATCATATAGTTTCAACACTAAAAATTGCATTGTCATATAAATAATCAGTCATTCAAAAAGAAAATTATTATTCATATATATTAGGTATAATTGGATGATAAGATCATTTGAAATTCTTATTCCAATCTTTTGTGAAATAATAGAATAAGGTTAATTAAGAAAGGCAGAGGTAGACCTAGGAAGACTTGGGCTTATTGTATAAAAAATGATCTTAATTTACTAGAACTAAATGAAAATATGACACTAAATAGGACGCTATAGAGAAAAAGGATTCATGTAGCCGACCCCACGTAGTGGGATTAGGGCTTTGTTGTTGTTATTGTTGTTCTTGTATCCTCTTTATGTCATGAATTAAAGCTAGTTTATAAATTTGAAGATTGTTTTGAATAATTCCACATTTTACCATGCATCTTCACCCAAAATACAATCCTTCTCCTTTCCAAGCTTCTCCTTCTATCATATTCTTTGGTTCTCTAGTCTCCTATTCAAACACTACAACAACTAAGGAGGCAACATCCATATAACCAAATTTGAAGGCATCCTTGATAATCGAGTCAGTGGAGATACTTAATCAATTGAAGATAGAAGGCATTATTGATGATTGAGCCACTAAAGATAATAATAAGAAAAGACTAGTTATTGATAATATTTAGATACAAATACAATATTTAATTTGAACCAGACGTTGGAGATCAACGGCAGCCTTCATTTTTAGTAGTCCAGTACTCCAATTTTTTTCCATAGAGAATCGAGATAAGCCTAGCTCAAACCACAAAGAAAAAATATGAGAATTGAGATTCATGGTTTGTTGTAGCAATCCATATATCTATTCATGTGCTCATTGTAGCTAGTTAGTTATTATATCACTATAGTTATTTTTTATTATAAAACCTTTTGATTCAGCCTAAATTTATGATACCCGTATTATGGTACGACACTAAGAAGAACTTTAGAAGTTTTCCAAAAATTTCCAATTAACAAAGAGAGAGAACTTTTGTACTATGTGATTACAATATATCTTAAAAGATTTTTCTATCCAAAATGTTTGCAATCAATAAATCCTAAGTTTTGTAGTTCTTTCTTTTCATTTCCTTGCATGCCCCCACCCTCCCCTTCCCCCATTTTCGTAAAAATTGAGATTCATTTAAACTTTAAGCAAATTTTTGAAGGGTTTATATTCAAACAATTTGCTTTTATTCTAAGGCCTAGATGTGATATAAAACCTAACAAAGAAAGTTACATCTTTTAAAAGGGTCTAGTCTGTTGATCCCTTTGTAAACCCAATGATGATCTAAATCCTTCTTCTCATTTAACTTGCTAATGTTTCTCTGTTAGGAGCTATAACAATAAATGGATGAAAGATTCATGACAGAGATTAGGATAGAATATTAGCATCACCGCATCCTCACTTGATTTAATTGTTTAGAGGTCGAAATTTTCAATCTCTGCATGGTTTTCTATAATAATTTTTTTTAGCATTAATTTTGGCAACTTAAAATTCAAAGTTTTTGGCTCTACTCCCTTAGGTGCATGGAATGGTGACAAAACATTATATTTTTGCAATCAATATGCTTAAGCTTTGACTGATTCCTCTCAATCTCACTCTCTTATAGGATTCAGTTGACCTCTAAGAGTTTGAGTGATTACAAAATTAAAGGATTAAGGAAAAAAAAAGGAATCCAAATGGTCTTAAATAGTTTTTGGATGAATTAAAAAATAAAGGAGATCTAATCCCTGAACCCATTAATCCAAGCTGAAACCAACATTCATTGTTTTGATTGAAGGAAACTGAACAACATTAAATAAAATACCATTAATTTAAAATATGCAGCCATATATAAGGTCTTTTCAGTTTTTTTTGCATACCTTTCACTAAAAATCAGAGCATCCAAAAAACTAATCCTCCTTGATGTCCACACAAAGGTTTGCAACACAAGAAGAACAGAAGAAATCAAAACTAAGCTTTTAACAAAACTACAACATAATTACCTCTCCGTATCTTAGCATTGTGATGCGATGTCTGCTGAAGGAGCTCTCTCAAAGTCAAACCCTTATTGTTAACAGCCAAACTTGCTTTATCAGTAGCAACGCTCTGCTCCGGAAGAATAATTGCTGTTCATGCCCGAACAAATGAAATGAGTAAGAACCTCTGCTATCAAAAATATATATTATATGACAAATTGCAGAACTCCAAAACTCGGTGACGAATTGTACCTTTGGATTTGATGCTTGTATCCGTGAAGTTCTTAGGAGGAGGCAACTTCCTCCCAATTTTACGTTTTATTTTCTAACATAAATAAGGAAATTAGAAAGAAACTGCATTTAAAAAGCTTGAAATACAGAAAAATTGGGAGGAAAAAGAAACAAACTTTGAAGTCCAGACCACGCTTGGGCTTCTTGGAGACTCTTGGCTTCGTCTTTCCCATGATTCTACTAAGGAGTAAATTTAGGGGCTGTTCGGTAGCAGGACTTGAGCAGAAAGTTAAGCACGATTTAACCTAAATCTTGCCAAACTGCAAAAGTGACAACTTTAAGGGCCTTTCTGGTAACGGATTTAGAGAAGGGTTTAAGCAGTAATTATAAATCTTGCCAGGCGGTCATTTTGGACAAAATAAAGCCTCGGATTTCATAAACCCGAATTTACTAAATCTCGTGAATCAGTGGATTAGTAAATCCGGGAGGACCGCTTCGCGCGAAAGAGAAGACGTGAAGTTACCTTCCTCGATGGTTTCGGGCGGGAGAGGGGCGGAAGGAGGAGATAAATGGGAGTTCCGGATCACTGTAAGCGGCGTTCCCGTCGTTGCGTTCCCAGCTAGCTCCTATTGCGACTGTTTCGCGAGGGTTCCGTGACGAAGAATATGGTTTGGGACGAAATACAGAGGGGGTTGGGACATGCTAGAGGATTTGGGGAAGAGAGGAGTGTTGTAGGCGAGGCTTTTATTAATTTAATTTTATTTTATTTAACTCTATTAATTTAATTGAGTATTTTATAATTATTATAATATTAATTATATGTAAATAAATTAATATTTATCATTTAATTAGTATCTAATAAAATATAAATACTAATTTTTTTATTCTTTCAATAATATAAGTATTTAATAATTAATATAATTAATAACAAATTTAGTATTCTTTTATAAATGTTAAACTTCTATTTAATAATTAATTTAATAAAATTTGTATACCTAATTAATTTATTTATTAAATATATAATTATTAATCATCATAATTTGAAATAAAATACTGAATGAATTTAAGGTGTCAAAATTGTTTTGTTATTTTGGAATATTTCAAAATTTTGAATTTAAGTAATTCACAAAATTTACAAAATCTTATTATTTGTTGAAGTCTAATGAACGTAATAGATTTCTAAATTCTCGTAAAAATTGTCAGATAGTTTTATAGGATTTAACATGATTTATTAAATTTGTTGCAAAACAGTTTTTCGAATTGAACCGTTTATGGATTTACTAAACCTAAATTTACAGGATTTACTAAATCTTACTGACTTAAATCTCTTTCGTTGTCATACAACCCCTAACTTGTAAATCTTGTTTCACCCCCGTTTTGCACAATTCGAAGCGTTCGAAGGGGTGTGGGAGGAAGGCGAATGTTACCTAGATGTCTCACGTAGGAGCGGAGTGCGGGCGAGAGCAGGGTTAAGGGAAAGTTGCACGAGGAGGAAGAGGAAGATTGTTAGTTGAATCTTCGTCTTAAGGGAAAGTTACATACCTAGCTCATAATTCTTTTGTAACTACATAATTTCCTAAAATTCCATATTTATATACATATCATTTTGGGATTTTAAATTATGCATGAAAAAAATTATTTTATTTTAAAAATATGATAATAGTGATATTTTTAATGTGAATTAAGTACCGAGGGCTATGCGGGTAAATATAAAAGTTTAACTGTGATATATGAAAATATGTAATATATATGTGCTATACATATAAATTTCTATGTTATTAAACACAATTTCAAATAATTAAAGTTAAATCAATTTCATTTAACTCATTATCAATTAATGATTAATTAATACATTATTTAAATTCATTTTAACTTAATTTATACATGATTGATGTAATTTGATATAAAATTAATTTATGATTAATTTTAAAAATATATAAATATTTAACTAGTCAAATAAAACTTCAATTAATAATTGATTAACATAATAAATGATTACTCAATAACTAATTAAATAATATTAAAGTTTTAATTATTTATATATTAGTTACATAATCTTTTTAATAACAATTAATAAACTTAGTGAACAAATAATTAATCATTAAAATAATTTAAAATAAAAATGTTAAATTAAATTAAATTAATCTTAATAAAATAATATTTAATTTAAATTCGAACTATAAGGTTTAAATCATGAAATAAATTGTCAAACAATTTTATTGAATTTAAATGGATTTAACATCTTTTATGCCAAATAATTTTCAAGATGCAATCACAACCAGATATTTAGCATTGAATCAAGTTTAATTGTTCATAAAATCCTGCAAAAATTCTCACAAACATAAAAAATGACAACTTTAGATCATATGGATTCTGAAATCCCATGAGGTTTGGAGAACAAGGGCTACCTTACCCTCAAGCTCTTGTCACAATTTTCTTGTTTCAAATCTTTTTCGTCCTCGTCGTTGTATCTTCTCATCCATTAATAGGGTGAAACCTATGCACTACCCTCACTTCTAAAAATTTACAGCGCTCGTGTCGGGGATGTATGAGATACTAACACGCCTCGACATTTTTCCAACACAACAAAATATATATATGAATTTTTTTCAAGCTCGAATATATATGTGATACATCCCAACACCGCATTAGACGTTACCTTAACACGAATTTGTGAAAATGAAAAACGAGGATTATAAAGTTATAAATATACGTATAGTTTTAATTATACATATTAGTCGAAACTGCCCCCATCACTTTTCACATTGAGGGTTATTCTATCATTCATCAAAATTGAGAATTGAAAGTGCATCTCATATTCGTCGAAGCCGAACATTAATAATTCCCTCTTTGTGATTACAAGATTTTTTAACTTTAAATAGATAAGTTTGATGAATTCGTGAGAAACAAATTATATTTAATTTTAAATAATAATTTGCTTAAATAATAAGTTTTATAATATAAATCAAATTTAAGAAGTTATATTTATTATTGCATAATTTTTGTTGTGATATTTTTTTATAGGCTTTTAATTCACAAGTTCTTTTAAAAAAAGAGAAGTCTGATCAAAGAAAACTTTAAATAAGGTAAATAAAATTCTCAAATTTAATTAATTTAGGAACTAAATCAATTTTAATTTAATTAAATTAATTTAAGTTTTAATTAATTATTTCTATAATAATTAACAATTAATTCATATATTCTATTAATGTAACAAAATTTTATTTAATGTAAACACAATTTATATCACTTTTTAAATAACTAATTAATGATCAATTAATGGATGTGAACATGGTAATTAAAGATTAAATTGTATATTAAACTACAAAAACTAAATGTAAAAAATGATTAATTATTAATAAATGAATTATAAATTAATAATTAATGATTAATGATTAATAGTTTCAGTAAAATTTTTAAAACAATTATGTAGCTTAAAAAATAATTAGTTAATATACAAACTTCAAAAAATGTCAAACTATTTGTTGGCATTTAATTAAAAATAATTATGTAGCTTAATAAAATTTCAGAAATAATAAAAAATTTAAAATTTCATTCACTTCAAAAAATGCAATCAATAATGATTAATATTAAAATAATATTTGAATTAAAAAACTTTAATCTTAAAATAAAATGTCAAACTATTTGTTAGGATTTAATTAGATTTAACATTTATCATACCAAATAGTTCCAAGATTCAACAATCTCAATATTTATTAATTCTAAATATTTATTCTACTTAAGTTAAATCTTACTTGTAACCATACAATCGAATGTTAAATCTCATTTCCCCTTTGTTGAACCCTAAATTCCGGGTTTACTAAAAGTAGGGATTTGAACTTTAAATTTAGTGCTTCTCACAACCTCCTCTTCCCCTTCACACATCTCTGATCTTGTCAATGACTTCTCCAAAAGCTCTAGTAAAAATATAAGACCCAACTGACATGGAATAGCGACATTCCCTTTCGAGCTAGCTAAATCTTTTGTGAAAATTTCTGCACCAGAATCCTCAGTGACAAACTTCAACATATATATGGCTCGTTCCCGAAACATTTTTGACATATTGAAATGCTTTGTGACTTCACTAGATAGTTCGGTCAACACCAATATTTGCAACATACATATATGGTACGTCATGCATATGGGGGTCCGTTTATTGATCTCACTTTTGTAAGGACTCACCCCACCTACTTGCACATGACCCTAAGCTAGAGTTGTGCCTTTCTTTGGCCTCACCAGTGTAAGCCCCCAACCCTTGGTTGAGTGGGTTTAGGGATTTGACCGGGTGAGGATGCCAAATTGACCACTAGGGGCTAGACATGCCCTAGGGCACCCATATCAATCCAAATCCCTAGGGACTTGCCTACGGACCTTTAGGTCACCCAAATTAACTGAAAATCCTAGGAACTTGCCTATAAGCCCTAAGGACACCCAAATCAACCCAAAACCTTAGGAGCCTCTCCATGAACCCTAGTGACCACTATGATCACCAAATCCACCTTGGGAAAGGAGTCCACCTAAATTGATTCCTGGCCTCACCAAAGGCTTCCCTAACCCTACCAAACCCTAAAAATCATCTTAAACCCTAATGTGCCTTTTTTGAACCCAAAATTTGGTGGCACCTTGGGATGGTCAAAACAAATTGGGCTTACCCAATTTTTTACCAAATTTCAACCAATTGACGACATCCCCATCATGACACAACACCATACGAAGGACCCAATTGACACCATAGGATCGCCCCCCATAATTCACTTAATTAATTAATTGAAGAGGTTATGACATTCCATTTGGGCCTGAAATTTGGCTTAAGCCCAAAGGACTAACCAACCCAAAGTTCATGGCCAATGACCCATTCTTATTGTGTTAGCCATGGCCCAATCGCCACCTAGCATGACATGGGTGACTCATCAAGCCAAATCAACCCAAACTCACCCTTAATTGGTGGCTTGCCACTATTCATCAAGGGTCATCTTGAGGGAGAGGACACATGTCACCATACATTTTATGTAGCCCAAGCCAAATTGGACCACTCCTTGGTGAGTCAAACCCAATCATCTCTAACATGTATTATTCACCTAAGGAGTCTCCAATCAGCTTAGAGCCCCTCCCATGTCTCCCCCATGTCCATGCATTACCATGGTCAAAGATGTCAAACTATTATGGCAACTTTGAGAAATCCACCCCACTGCCCAAAAATCCTCTCGAATTCTTTTGAGCCTACGCTTCTTCAATCATTTGACCGACTTTTTTTTGTAAATCAACAATTACAAGAATTTGATGACGCTACTAGAAGATTTAAATTCCAGCAACGATGCCAAAAACTTGACTGCGACTTTATATATATATGTTTGATTTAATAAAGATGTATAGTTATAATATTCAATAATGTTAAAGTCGAATTTGTCAACGCAAGTATACGTATCGCTCAAGTAATATATGGCTCTAATGGAGTCTTAGATATCGATCCCACAAGGAGAAATAGAATACTACGGACTAAGATTTAATAAAAAGTAATACTTCAACTACAACGACGTTCAAGTTGCTTATCTGTCACTAATAGGCAATTGAAGTAAGTAGATAATTTGGATAATAACTAATTATAGAAAATAACGTTTAATTGTGATATTCAATATATAAGAAAGCATCCTTCTCCTTGCCAAGAAATTATAGTTAATGGATAAAATGAATTAGTTCAATTTATATTGTGCCAAATAGGAGCATACCTATTCTTTACCCTTTGGTCAAGGCATAAACAACATTGACTAATCCTATGTTTGGTTACTGATTCTGCGGCTATGCTGGGAGGATATCGGCTCCCACTCGGAGCTCCCACGTTCCCCTTACCTGAGGGCTAACATCTACACATCA